GACTTGTCTGCGCACCGTGCCTGGCAGTGTGGGCACAGCCACTGCCTCCTGTCAGCCGCCGGCAGCTCGGGAAGACAGAGGGCTTCCATCCCCTCCCCAGGCATCAAGGGGCCAGCATGGCAACAACCACGGCCTCCCACACCTCTCCCTGGGGCTGCCCTCCCCCCACCCGCGTCCTGCGAGTTCTTTCCAGTCCTGGCCTCTGGCCTTTCCTCGCACTGTTTCTCTGGGGTCTTTCCTCCCTGCTTCCCTGTGTGGATCCCTCCCTGAGGAGGAGGGATTTTGTTCTCGGTTCTGACCCTAGAATGTGAGCTAGAGATAGTGGGACACAGCAATCATCGTCACAGTAAAGCCGGCAGCGTGTGCTAACAGCTGTATCAGCACTAAGTTAATCCTCACACAGCCCTTTCCTCCTCCCCCCCCCCCCCCGTTTCAGATGAGTAAACTGAGGCTCAGAGAACATCGGCAACGTGTCCATTTGCACACAGCCTAACAGTGATGAAGCCAGGAGTCAGATGTAGGCAGACTAGTGGCCAGAATCCCATTGTCCACCTCAATAGACAACCTGAGTTCAAATCTTGTAACCACTTTGAATGTTATGCTCTTTAGTCATTCAATATACGCGTAAGCCACGGTATGTGCTGAGCTTGCCCTCATTGCTGGGAGAAGTGCTGGGGATGAGAGAGGCCTGGGCAGGGCTTGCCTGCAGGCACCACCGGCACCTGGTGGACCGCCAGCAGTTACAGGTGGGCAAGGAGTGCCCTGCCAGCAGCTCAGCGCTGCCTCGCCCCCTCGGTCATCCCAGCACCACTGCACATTCGGGTCACACCAGAGCCTTGGCACAGGCTGTTCCATTCATCCGTCCTCTCCAGCACAGTGGAAGCCAGGACAGCGGGATTTGTATCCTGTACTCAAGTTCCTGAGCTTAGAAATGTGTTTCTGTATTAAATGAATTACTGAGCTCTGGGGAATTCCTGCAACGTCAAACCTAGCCAGTTGGGTGAGAAGTAGTGGTTGAACTGAAATTTCCCGACAGATGATTATTTTTAAAGTTTGAAATGGGTCCTGGCCAGTTTTGAACAGTGGTTAGAGCATCGGCCCTAAGATTCCTGGCATGTATCTTGGGTTACAGGTTCCCTGGCCCTGGTAGGAGGCAGCCAATCGATGCATCTCTCTCACATCGATGTTTCTCTCTCTCTCCCCCTTCCATGCTCTCTAGAAATCAATGGAAAAAATAGAGAGACCTAAAAAATTTAAAAGTTTGCAATTGTCATCACCTTCTTCTGTCCCCTATCTCTCCCCCGCACTCCCACATACACACTTGTGAGTGGTCACAAGAGGGTATAGTGAAGACTAAGAATATAGGATTTGAAAGGTTCTGAGGGAGCATCTCATCCAATCCCCTCCTTTTTATCAAGGGGAAACTTGATATCAAGGCCCAGGGAAGTCTTGCTTGAAGGTGTGAGTAGGACTGGAGGTCGGCCCAGGCCTCCTGACTTCTGGCACAGATCCCACGTTGTCTCTGGGCCCCTATACCCACTGCCTGCCCAACGCAAAGGCTTCCGGACAGTTCTGAGGCTCTCATGCCCCCTGCAAACCCTCCCTTCTGGACCTGAGAGGTTTTGTTGGCTGTGTCCACTACAGCCTGGAGAGCCCCCTCTGGCCCCACAGCCAATGACAGCCCAGGCGGTGTGGCTGCTGGCGGAGCCGCATCCCATGCACCACAAGGTCAGGGCACAGATCCAGGCCGAAGGTTTGATCCTGCTAAGGGAGGCAGCCAATCAATGTTCCTATCTCACATTGTATTTTTTTCTCTCTCTTCCTTTCTCTCTAAAAATCAATAATATGTATATATTTTAGCTGGAGGTTTTACTAGAGTCAGCCTCCGGGGGCCCGGAGAAAGCCCCTGCCACTGTCCCTGCAGCCATCACGGTATCTGAGGGAGCTGGACAGGCTTCCCAAACATAACTTTATGTTTAGCCACAGTCCCACCACCGTGGTTCAGTGGCTGAGTGTCGACTTTTGAACCAGGAGGTCACGGTCTGATTCCCAGTCAGCGCACATTCCCGGTGTTGCGGGCTTGATCTCCAGTGTGGGGCATGCAAGTAGCAGCCGATCAATGATTCTCTCATTATTGGTGTTTCTCTCTCTCCTCGTTGGTACTGCAAATGCGAATCCGATCAGACCTGGTCCAGTTGTGCACGGCGCTGTAGAGCGGTGCTGTAGAGATCACACCAGCCACTCACCACCAGATAGGACCTGCTGCGGCCACTTCCCCTCTTTTCATTGCCCCCCTCACCGAGACAGTAGTGGGGGCGACCCGAGTTGGACTGGTGTCTACTTTCCCTCTGAGACTAGACGTCCTTGGCACACCGACCTAGTGGGTCCTCTACCCCATTTGTGCACATGAGGAGGCGGGAGCCTGAGAAACCCAGGCACAAACTCCACGGAAACTGGCCTTCCCGCTGCATTGCCGCGGGCCTCATATATATGTGCTCGGGCTGACACTAACCACTGAGACCAGCCAGGCTCTTTAAAAAAAAAAAAAAAAAAAAGGCCCTGGCTGGTGTTCTCAGTGGTTAGTGTCAGCCCGAGCACAGAAGGATTTCAGGCTTGATGCCCAGCCAAAGGCACCTACCTGGGTTTCAGGTTCAATCCCCAGCCGGGTCAGGACGCATGCGGGAGGCAACCAATGGCTGTCCACTCTCTCCAAAAGTCAATGGGAAAATGTCCTCAGGTGAGGATAACAGAAATAAAAAGACAGCCACTGGCAGCTCCTCTCCAGAGCTGTGGCCAGATGCGGGGCACAGGGAAGCCGGGCGCCGAGGTGAGCATCTCATGCCAACAGCCGCAGAGCCAGGGAGGGACTTCAAGTCTCACAGAATCCGTGTGGATACAGACTAGAAACCCAGACCCCTGCCTCCGGCTCTGGCCTCTTCTCTGCTGTCTGAGCCCTTCAGAGGGGCAGATTCCGACTTTTGACAGGTGTGTGTGTGTGTGTGTGTGTGTGTGTGTGTGTGTGACAGAGAGAGAGAGAGAGAGAGAGAGAGACCCCTAAAGGGTCTGTCTCCCTCTCCCCAGGGCCTTGCTCCAAAGACCTCAAGGCCATAAGACTCCATAGACCTAGGGGTCAGGGGCAGACAAGATGCATAACCACAGCTTCCTTTCCTGGTGTCTGCCTCCTGCTCCGGGGCTGTCAGGAATGTGTGGTGTGGGCAGAGGCAAGGGAAGCTGTGAGGCCGCTGGCTTACATGGGGTGGAGGAGAGGGACGTCGGGAGGGGGAGGAAAGGTTAAGGAAGGGAGTCGCTGTGCTAGGCTCTCTTCTTCTGACAGAACAGGGTTGGGGCAGCGCTTGCCCAGGGAGAGGTGGGGTTGTGAGCCAGAGGCCGGGGAAGGGGCTGGGCTGGGGAGTGGATTCTCTGAGAAATGAGTGCCCTGGAGGCAGTCATTTGGATCACACGTTTATCCACTGAACATATTTTCACCCTCTACCGTGAGGTACAGGGATAGACACAGCAACAAACAAAACAGAACGGTCCCTGTGCTCAGGAGCTGTCACACTAGTGAAGATGGCCGCTGAAGAAATGCACACACGTGTGCAATAATGTTGAGCTGTGCTAAGTGCTGTGATTAACCCAGAGCAAGGGCTTGGCTGGAAGGAAGGGAGACATGGGGGAGGGGGCAGAGGCCTATTGCTTGAGGCTAAGCCCCAGGAAAAAGAGCCAGCACGTGAGAAGGGAGAAGGGAGGAAGAGCCTGTGCAGAGATCCCAAGATGGAAAAGGATGTGTGTGAGCTCGGAGAGCTGATGGGCTGCGCAGGGAGGTGTGGGGTAAAAGTGTGGGTTTATGGGAAGTGTGGTAGTTAGAAACCACTGGAGGGTCTAACAAGGGGAGGCGGGACATGACTGACATTTTAGGAAGGTCACCCTGTGCTGTGTGGAGAGAGGGCTGGGTGAGGCAGAGACTCGGCTCCCAGTCAGCGGTCCAGAGGAGAAACGGCGGTGCCTGAGCCAGGAGGATGGCTAGGAGATGGAAGGGGACGGCTGAAGTTGTCACCTGTTTGGGAGGCAGACTCAGGACTTGCCAAAAAATTGTAGTATGTGGGCTGAGGGGAAGGTGGAGTCAGGATGACTCCGAGCTCACTCGCCTAACTGCCTGCACAGAGGAGGTGCCATGTACTGACCCTCTGGGAGGAAAGAATCACCTCCCCAGAGCCCAGGAGGGAGGGGATGAAGGCAAGAAGGGGAAACAAAGTGGGGCCCACACTGCAGGCGAGGAGTCGGGGGGCCAGGGGCCCGCAGGCACAGGTGTCCTCCTGAGACAGCAGCAGAGGGCGAGGCCAGGCTGCACCATCCGCCAGGCCTTCCTCCCACGCCGCACAGGGGACTGACGCCAGGGCCGGCGGACACCCTGGCTGAGCAAACCCTTCCTCTCGCCCAGTCCGGGCTTTGCGTTGTTGTCGTTTTACGGCCACGTGGTACGATTCCACCCCCGGAAAACGTTCCCGCTGCTTCTCATTAGCGCGCCTGTCATCCGGCCGCCACCGGATCCATGGAAGGTCCTCGAAGCCAGGGGAACAGCCCGCATGTCGGACCGGCCGCGACTGCTTCCATCTGTTTCCTAGCCTCCGGCCGGATTGGGTGCGGGCGGCCTGGCCTCGACCCCGTCTCCCCGGCAGACACCTAAGCCGGTGACTCGGGCGGCCTCCTCACCCCAGCGCCTGGCCCGACCTCCGGCTGCTCAGCCGCGCGCCGGCGGGAGAACAGGAACTGGGTCCGCGCCAGGCGCTCCCGGGTCACGTGACCTGCCCCGCTGGGCGCCGTCACGTGACGGTGGCGTTGGCGAGCGTTTTGCTCACGTGACGGAGGCCCGGCGTGCGGGCCAATGAGGGGGCGGGGCGGGGCTGTCAGCGGGGCGCGCGAAGGCAGCGGCCGCCACGCCGGGAGCGGGGCGCCGCGGCTCTGCCCGGGCGCAGGCCGCCGGCCCGGGGCGGGGCAGCATGAAGTGCCTGGTCACCGGCGGCAACGTGAAGGGTGCGTGGGGCCGGCCGAGTGGGCGGGGGACGTGGCGCTGCCCGAGGCTCCAGCCTGACCGATCCTCTCCTCCCCGCGCAGTGCTCGGCAAGGCCGTCCACTCCCTCTCCCGGGTCGGGGAAGAGCTGTACCTGGAGCCGCTGGAGGACGGGGTGAGGAGCGGGGGGGACCGGGTGGGATTCCAACCCGGAGCTCTGACCTGGGCTCGAGCCTCCCTCCACCAGGCAGGATGCCCGGGGCAGATTTGTCCGCAGGGTTTGTTCCCGACCCCTGGTGCTGGGCATCCGCCTGGTGAACGGAGAGCAGTGCTCTCCCCGAAGGGCCGGGTGGCCGTGGGGGTGGCGGGGGGGGGGCGCGGTGTGCTGGTGTAAGGCCTCGGTGGGAGAGGGCTGAGGCCAGTTCTGGGGAGGCTTCAAGGAGAAGGTACCCGATGGCGGAAGGGGTCAGGACTTCACCAGGCGATGGTGGAGGTGCAGGGCATGAGGGCAAGAGTGTGACTGCCCTGACGGCGCTCCTCTCCCTGCCTTTCCTGGCCCAGCTCTCTCTCCGGACCGTGAACTCCTCCCGCTCTGCCTATGCCTGCTTCCTCTTTGCCCCACTCTTCTTCCAGCTGTACCAGGCGGCCACCCCTGGTCAGGACCCGCTGCGCTGTAAGATCCTGATGAAGGTGAGTCCTCCCTCAGCAGTGGTGCTAGCCCCCCCTCCCCAGTGCGGCTGCTCTGGGGCTCAGCAGATGGGGCCTGGGGAGAGGGGTGTGCCAGGGCAGCCCGTGCACAGAGCAGCGAGGAGCACAGTGAAGGCATCTGCAGAGGGAATGGCCGATGAGGAGAGGTGGTAACCCTATCAGGGCCTGGAGCGACAGGTGCCATTCAAGCAGGTGCATTCCGAACAGGGAGCAGCAGGAAGAAAGGCCTAGAATGTGTCAGTGACCCGCGTGTGTGAGCTCCCTTCCCGGTCTGCCCGACAGTCCTGAGCACATGATGGGCTGCAGGGGACGGGAGAACCGGTGGTGGGAGGTGCAGTGTTGGCCCGTGTGTTTGCCCGCTCAGTCGTTCCTGTCCGTCTTCCGCTCGCTGGCGATGCTGGAGAAGACGGTGGAGAAGTGCTGCATCTCGGTGAACGGCAGGAGCAGCCGCCTGGTGGTGCAGCTGCTCTGCCGATACGGTGAGTGGCGGCTGGCCCGCAGGGGGCTGCCGGGCGGTGTGGGCTGGAGCTCGGCGAGGTCCTGAGACTCTGTCTGCCCGTCCAGGGGTGAGGAAGACTCACAACCTGTCCCTCCAGGACTGTGAGTCCCTGCAGGCTGTCTTCGACCCCGCCTCGTGCCCCCACCTGCTGCGCGCCCCGGCGAAGTGAGTATGCGCTTCCCGAACCCGAGCCGCAGGGTCCGTTTAAGAGGGCGCCTCTGCCGTTTTCCTACAGGGTTTCTGAGAGTCAGCATCACCGCCCGTGTGCTCTAGGTTCTTGTCTCTAAGAGGCGCGGGGGAGGGACAGGGCTCTCTTGCTGAGCGTCGGCCTTCAGACTGAAAGGTCCTGGGTTCGATTCCGGTCAAGAGCGTGTACCGTCTTCCGGAGCCTGTCCTCACCCCAAGGGTTCAGCTTGTGTTTCTGGCCAGTCAGCCCTGGAGACCAGGTCTCTGGCCTGAGCAGCCTTGAAAGTCTGTCATCAGCTTTGTAGCTCAGGGCTCAAAACCCTTCTCTGGCCTGGTTATCCTTCTGGGGCGCTCCCCGCTCAAGGGCAGCCTCCTCCTACCTACCCTGACCTTAGCCCGGAGCCCTCAGGCAGGCAGGGGGCTGGGGTCTAGGACTGCCTAGGCGAGTGGCTCTGCAGCTGGGACCAGCCCCGGTGAAGACAGGGCAGAGGGTAGCTCCCCTCCCGCCCATGCTGGCTGTGCTTGGCGCTCAGGCAGCCCACGGTCTTGTTCATTTCTTCCCGCAGCCATGGGGCATGGGAACTTGAAGGTAAGGTCCCTTTGGGCCTGACTGTCTGGCTTCTGAGTTCTGCGCACAGCACTGCTCAGGTCTCCTTCGGATAGAGAAAGGGAAGGCTGTCACCTCTGGGTTGGATTTTGAGGCTATTTCTCTCTTTTCTAGTGAGTAATTTTTTCTTTTTCTGACAATTTTAAATACAGCTCCTGTCCCAACTGTCTTGAGGCTAATTCTAAATATTTTTTCATTTGTAACTATTTATTACCATGTATCCCTAGATAGCAAGAATGTAGGGTTTGCCAAAACCGGTTTGGCTCAGAGGATAGAGCGTCGGCCTTCAGACTGAAAGGTCCTGGGTTCGATTCCGGTCAAGAGCGTGCACCTTGGTTGCGGGCACAGCCCCAGTGGGGGGTGTGCAGGAAGCAGCTGGTCGATGTTTCTCTCTCATTGATGTTTCTGACTCTCTATCCCTCTCCCTTCCTCTCTGTAAAAAATCAATATTAAAAAAAAGAAAGTAGGGTTTTCTGAAGGCAGGCGATAAGGATGGAAGGTGTGGTCTCCCGCCCCTGGACGGACAGGTGTTGCCTGCCTGGTGTAGCCCAGCCTTTCTGCTGCTTCCCTGGGATCCTGTCTGTCCTGTCCTCACAGTGGATTTGCTCCATGTCATCCTGGGAGCTCTGGATGGGGCAGGAACCAGGTCTTGCTCACCCTGTCCTCCTTCCTGGGGCATGCCAGCCTGGCCCATAGCAGTCCCCCTCCCGTCCTGGTGCGTGTGTCCCTGCCTCCAGTCCTCTGAGAGCAGAACCACTGGGTAGGCCCGGCCCCTGGTGTAACGCTCTGCCCTCCGCACAGGGTTCTGGGGGAGGCTGTCCTGCCCTTCCCCCCTGCGCTGGCTGAAGTGACGCTGGGCATTGGCCATGGTCACAGGGTCATCCTGCGAAGCTACCAGGAGGAGGAGGCAGGTGAGGGAGCCGGCCAGGCCTGGGGCAGGGAGTGAGGGGTGGGAGGAGCTAGGACCCAAGGGCCCAGGTTCCTCTTGTTCCTGTCCCCCAGACAGCGCCACCAAGGCCATGGTGACTGAGATAAGCATTGGGCAGGAGGACTTCCAGCAGCTGCAGGCCGAAGAAGGGGTGGCCATCACCTTCTGCCTCAAAGAATTCCGGGTGAGGGTCCCCCCGTACCCGCACCATTCCATCCCCCTGTCCTGGCCACGGCCTTACTGTCTGCTCTCCTCCCAGGGGCTCCTGAGCTTCGCGGAGTCAGCGAACTTATCTCTCAGCATTCACTTCGATGCTCCCGGCAGGTAATGCCCAGCGCAGGACAGGGAGGGGAGGACTCTGGGGTGCCAGGAGCCAGAGGGCCCTCACCTTGTCTGCGGCCCATCATCTGTACAGGCCAGCCATCTTTGCCATCAAGGACTCTCTGCTGGATGGCCACTTTGTTCTGGCTACGCTCTCGGAGCCAGCCCCGAACTCCCAGGACCTGCACTTCCCGGAGCCCTGCCGGCCAGCGCCTCCGCGCCAGGCCCACAGGTGAGGGTTTCCACGGGCCACCCTCCCAAGTGGCTCTGAGCCTGCTGCTCCCAGCTTCCATACCTCCCCCTCCGTACAGACATTTCCTGTAAGGCCCCAGCCCTGCAGTGCTCCCAGCCTCACAGGCCCAGCCTTCCTGGTCAGCTGTGCTCAGATCCCTCCCACCCAGGGGAAGTGTCCCCAAGGTCAGGCTAGCTTCCTCCTCTGGCTCAGACCTCCCCACTGAGCTTCCTCCCAGACTCGGAGGGAGGGGGTTGCTGGAGGCTGGAGACTGCCGGGGTGAAGAGCAGGTGGCTGGGAGGGCAGGAGGGTGGGGAGGATGGGACCAGTCTAGTTTACAGAGGAAGTCTGGTCTGGCCCCTGGCCCAGCAGCTCTCCAGCTCCTGTCCCTTGGGAAGTGTGATATTGGGCCCAGTGGCCCGGCTCAGCGGACTTACTGCTCCCCTCCCCCTGCCGAGCCAAACCGGCCCGCAGGAGGCCTCCCTCAGCCCGTCTGAACTCCGATCCAAAGATTCCAGGTCCGGCCCCGGCCGGCCCCTCCAGGAAGCCGCCAGCCACTTAAGCCTGTATCCTCTCTCCTCCCACCAAATAAGGAAGTAATAAAACTGAGATCACCGGGTCACAGGCCCCCACCCTCCCGCCCAGCCCAGGCCTCCAGGGTGGCTCTTCCTGTTTCTCAGGACCCTCTTTACCTGCAGCGCCCCCCAGCTGGATGACTTTGCCAATGACGACATCGACTCTTACATGATCGCCATGGAAACCACTGTGGGCACTGAGAGCTCAAGAACGCTCCCCCCCATCTCCCTCTCACCCGGCCTCCAGCGCCCCTGCAGCTCCGAAGAGGAAGAGGAAGAGGAAGCTGAGCCGAGCACCGTGCCTGGGACCCCCCCACCCAAGAAGGTAGGCGCTGGGAGAGGCAAAGGGCGGGCTGCCAGGAGCAGCAGCCTCCACACTCACTGGGCTTCCTCCTCTTCCAGTTCCGCTCCCTGTTCTTCGGCTCCATCCTGGCCCCCACACACTCCCCCCTGGGCCCCAGCCCTGTGCTGGCTGAGGACAGTGAGGGCGAAGGCTGACCGAGAACCTGTCTGTGCCCAGAGCCCTGGACTGGATGGAGCCACAGCCTCCCACCTCAGCGCCAGCCAGCGGCAGGGCTGGGTGTCGGCCATGGCGGTTGGTAAAGGTGGGCTGGAGCTGAGCTGGCTGGTCCTGCTGCATCCCTATGCCCTCAGGGAGCTCTTGGTAACTGGGCCCCAACCAATCATGTCCCCCTATCAATCATGTCTGTGTCGAGGGGGGCAGCCTGATAGGGAGTCACACCTTATTCCAACCTTGTGGTCAAGGCTGGGCGCCTGGCTTCCTTAAATCACAGTGGGGCTGCCGGCCCCTCCATCAGCCGTTTCTGACAATCATGACTGTCCCTCTTCCAGTCTGGGCACATCTCTGCGATGTCTGGTGGCTGGCTGACAGTTCTGCTTTTTTAATATTTCTTGGCTCTCGCTGGGAATTTTAGGCAGCCTGTGGACCTAACGGGGCCCCATGCCCAGCTAGCCAGCCCTCGCAAGCGGCTCTGGGCAAAGGAGTGCCAGGCCCACTGTTGGGACAAGGGAGACAGGCCAGGGCAGGAATCCAGCTTTGACCTTTATTCAGGAGACCAGGTGGGTTGCCAGGATCCGGCTGCCAGCCCTGAGGCCAAGCAAGGCTGAGACCCACCATCTGGCCCTGCTTTGCCCTGAGCTGCAGCCTCAGCCCCAGGATCCTGCTCGCAGCCACCGAGGCACAGGCAGAGGGAGCTCTGGGGGCTTGGACACTGCTATTGATTCATTAAAAAAAGGAAAAATACACCAAGGCTCCATGTTCCCTGTGACAGCAGGCCTGCGTCTGCATGGCCCCGCGCTGCGTGGCTCTGTACATTCCACCATCGGGGCAGAGGGCGGCCCGGAGGCTACTTCTTGGCTTTGGCGGAGTTCCGGGGCGGGGTGATGGGCCGGCCGCCCGGGTTCAGGCCGCTGAACTGCCCGTACTTCCCCTTGTTCTTGTCGGCGGGCTTGAGGATCTAAGAGACAACACTGGTCAGCCTCCTGGGGCGGAGCCAGGGGCCCCCAGCCCCGTCCTTCCCCCTCCCCTCCCCCCTCCTCTTCCCCACCTGGAAGGAGCACATGAGCGTCTCGTCCACGCTCATCATGGCGCCAGCGTTGTCAAACTCGCCGCAGTAGTTGGGAGCTGAGAAGAGCGTCACCAGCTGCCGCTTGGCAAAGAACTCGTAGCCGTCCTCGACCACCTGGACGGGGACGGGACGGGGCGGGTGGTCAGCGGGCGCGGCTGCCCAGGGCCTCCCCCCGGGCCAGCGCCGCCAGCCCACCTGGTGTGCCCGGCAGATGAGGTCCAAGTCGTGCTTGTGCAGGAACTTGGCCACCACCTCGGCCCCAAAGGTGAAGGACACCCCGCGGTCGTTCTCGCCCCAGCCCTGCACGTCCTTGTCGGGGTCGGACCACAGCAGGTCACACAGCAGCCCCTGGTCGGGCACGTCTGTGGGCCGCATGATACGCCGAATCTGCTCCATGGACTGCAGGTCGGGGGACAGACCTGGGGACACACGTGGCACATCACTTCCTCAGGCCTCAAGACAAGGATGCTTCCCCTCACCGCCCCCCAAGCCCTGGCCAATCAGCTTTTGCGCGTGTGCACGCCCCACTGCTCCCCCCGGCCCTCTCCTGGATTTCTGGGAGCCCAGGCAGACAACTCATCACCTTCAGCCCCTTTTAAGTCCCTGCCTGCTGGGGTGCAGGGCTCCCTAGAGAAAGGAGCAGGCAGACCCCATGCACAATGCTGCGGCCACCACCGCGGAGAGTGCAGCCTGACACCGCGGGCAGGGAAACGGCCTGCAATAAGGAGCGTCTGAGCCCAGACCGCAGGGAGAGCGTCCTCGCCGGCAGCTTCTCCCGGGCCCCACGGGCTCTTCCCAGGATCTCCCTCGGCAGGTGCCAGGGCCCTCACCTCCGTGGCAGCAGAAGATCTTCTCGTCCACGATGGCGGCGATGGGCAGGCAGTTGAAGCAGTCGGTGAACGTTTTCCACAGTTTAATGTTGTAGCGCCGCTTGCCTGCCCAGGGGAAGGAGACGGCTCGTGAGGGGGCCCCCGGGGCCCCCCAGACACGGGGGGAGAAGGCATGGACGATAAGAAGGGCCCTGTGCACACACTGCCTACCGCCTTCCAGGGGGAATTCTACAGCAGCTGACTCCACGGAACCCCAAAGTTCCAATCTGGAACAATGCTGGGGTTAGCATGCACCCCCACCCCAGGAGCAGGACTGGGCCAAGACTGGGTCTGTTTTATCTCCGCTTCGGGCCAAACAGGTGTCCTCAGTGCCTAAGGAGGATCTCTGTGTTTTCCGATGGTCTTAGGCGGCCGCTGCTGTAGAGCCTAAGACCATCGGAAAACAGATATTTACAGGACGATTAACAGTAGCAAAACGTCAGTTATGAAGTAGCAACGAAAAGAATTTCGTGGTTGGGGGTCACCACCACGTGAACTGTATTAAAGGGCCGCGGCCTTAGGAAGGTTGAGAACCGCTGTTCTGGAGGGAGTGTCACCTGGCCGGGCTCTGCGTTAGAACGTGGACAGAGCCCACGGCAGGAGGGCAGGGCTCCGCAGGCCGCGGGCAGCCCCGCGCGAAGTACTCACACTCATCGTAGAAGCCGTAGATGCGGTTGATGCTGGCGCACTCGTGGTTCCCGCGGAGCAGGAAGAAGTTCTCGGGGTACTTGATCTTGTAGGCCAGCAGCAGGCAGATGGTCTCCAGCGACTGCTTGCCCCGGTCTACGTAGTCGCCCAGGAAGAGGTAGTTGCTCTCCGGAGGGAAGCCCCCGTACTCAAACAGCCGCAGGAGGTCGTAGTACTGGCCATGGATGTCACCTGCGGCCCAGGGACCCGGTCAGCACCGGCGCAGGGTGCAGACTTGAACCCAGGGCCAGTGTTGGGCTCAAGATAAGAAGGACCCGGGGACCTGGGGGCCGGGGCCGCCCTCAGGAGACGGGGGCCTGGCAGGAGGCTCACCGCAGATCTTGAGGGGCGCCTCCAGCTCCAGCAGGATGGGCTGGCTCAGGAAGATCTCCCGGGATTTGAGGCACAGGCCGCGGATCTCATTCTCCGTCAGCTGCACGTTCTTCCCAGGCCGCGAGCCCTGCACTGGAGGCAGAGGGGGCGTCAGGACCCGGTCCCGAGGCCGGGGGAGGGCGGGCGGCACGGTGTCCCAAGGGCATTCTGGGGCGCCAGGGCCTCGGGGCCCCTCCTCGCCCCCGACAGACGGCCTCCCGGGCACGAGGTGGCCTCCCCACCACCACTGGCCTCCCCACCACCACAGGCGCCGAAGGGAAGGGAAGGGAAGGGAATGTGTGCGCAGGTGCGGCCACTCCGAACCCCGGGCAGGACCCCGGGGGAGGGGGATGTCAGGTTTGCCCCTCACTCCCAGACCAGGCAGCCCTGCGCCCCCGGCCCGGGGAGGGGCGCCCCGTGCCCAGCAGCCCCAGGGCCCCGAGCGCGTCGCGAGTGGGGGTGGCTGCGGCCGTGGGACCTCGCGGCCCGTCCCCGCCCGTCCCCGCGGCCCCGGGAGGGGCAGGCGCCCCCGCGCGCCACTTCCGGGCCGGGCCGGGGTCGGGGCGCAGGGGCAGCCGACCCCCCCCGCCCGCAGCCAACCTTCCAGCAGGCGCCCGATGATCGAGTCCAGGTTGAGCTTCTCACTGTCGGACATGGCGGCTCTGCCGCTCCGGCCCAGCAGCTCCGGGCCCGCTCCTGCCTCCCGCCCTCCGCGGCCTCCTTCCGGCCTGGAGCTCCTTCCGCCCTCCCGGCCCCGCCCCGCCCCGCCCCGCCCCGCCCGCTCCCCGGCCCGCGGCCCCGGCTCCATAGCGCCCCCGCTGGACGCTGGCGCCGCGGCCGTGGCGCCGGGGGGCGGGGCTTCGGCGACGGGGCGGGCCGGCGTGTCTGGGGCGGGGCCCGGACGCGGGGGCGGGGCTTCGATGGTGGGGCGGGGTCGGCCGAGGGGCGGGGCTTCGTGGGGCGAGGTTGCGACTGGCCCCGCCCCTGCTAGGAACTGTCCCGCCCCTTTCCGAGGCGGTGCGGCCGGAAGTACTTGGAAGTTGTTTTTCTCTCTCCGAAGCTGTGTGAGCGCGGTGGCTACTGTTTCCCAGTCGCTGTGGATCGAGTCCCTCACGTGCAGAAAAGGAAACGAGACCCAGAGAGAGCCAGGGCCGGGCTCGCCTTCCCTGAGGACCTCGGTCTGCGTCTCTGGCCCCGAGGCGGCCGACCGGGACTCCAGCCCGCTGGATACCAGCCCGCTTTGGGTCCGACTGTCTGTGTTGCGACCTAAACTAATATTTACTTGTAAGCCCCATCGTTGCCTGTTGTGTAGCATAATAATTCTGCATGTGTGCACGTTACACGTGTTACCTGGGCCCGGCCGTCATGCTCAGCGGTTCAGCGTCCACCTAGGAGCCAGGACATCACAGTTCCATCCCCATCAGGCACAGGCCTGGCTGCGGCTCCACCCCAGTGTGGGGCGTGCAGGAGGCAGCCGATCCATGATGCTCTCACCATCGATGCTTCTATCTCTCTTCCTTCCTCTCTGAAGTCAATAAAATATATATATGTATATTTTTAAAGTATTATTTTGTAAAGAGCAAACATTAACTAAACCACAATTCTCACTGGCACACTGAATTGAGTATTTTACATGCTAATCTCTTCAAAAGTAGAGGTCTCTGTACTCTGGCAGCCCTGGACCCCCCCCCCCCCCCCCCCCCAGCCAGCACAGGAGCCCAGGCCTGCCCAAGGGGAGGAGGGAGGAGCCAATGGCCCGGGGACACTGGGGCAGGCAGGAAGAGCCTCAGAGAGGAAGAGGTGACACCCCCCCCCCCACACACACACACACACACACACACTGGGGAGGGGCCCCCCAGTGAGTTGCTGAAGCTGTGGCTGAGGAGGAAGTGAGAGGAGGAGGTGAGGTGCAGCAGGAAGGTAAGCTGGGGCTGGGCCTGGGGCTGAGCCAGGGGCTGGGTCTCCGCACAGAGGCCTGGCTTTTCTGTCCCTCAGGGCCTACCCCTCCAGAAGAAGGGGTAGAGGGGCTCGGTGAGATACCCTGAAACCTCCTCCCTGCACTCGCAGCCAGGGTCTGCGGCTTGGCCAGGAACTGCCGCTCACACTAGCTTCGCCCCATCCGGCAGCCCGTTACCGGGAGGGTCTGCGCAGCATGGCCCAGGCCCTGGGTGAGGACCTGGTGCAGGACGACTCCAGCTCTCTGGGCTCTGACTCCGAGCTGAGCGGGCCGGGCCCCTACCGCCAGGCTGACCGCTATGGCTTCATCGGGGGCAGTTCAGCAGAGCCGGGGTAAGTGGGGAGGAAGCGGGGGGAGGGGGGCTGTGGGGGGGAGGAAAGGGAGGATGCGTGAATTGAGGATGAGAATGGGGGCTAAGGGCTGGTGAATAGAGTCCTGGGAGGGTCTGGGGGTTCAGCCAGTGTCACTCCTCAGGCTCGGGTAGAATCCTGAGGGTGGCAGGGCTGGGGGATATGTCCAAGTATGCCTCTTTCTAAAAAAATTATTCTTACTGATTTCAGAGAGGAAGGGAGAGGGAGGGAGGGATAGAAACATCAGTGATGAGAGAGAATCATTGTCTGCCTCCTGCACGCCCCTCACTGGGGATTGAGCCCACAACCTGGGCATGTGCCCCTGACTGGAATCGAACCCGGGGCCCTTCAGTCCACAGGCCAACTCTCTATCCCCTGAGCCAAACAAGCTAGGGCCAATTATGCCTCTTTTGCACCCAATCTCCGAGGGTTTGCGCCCATCCTTGGAGCCAAGAATTCTTCCCCTTTTAATCTCTGGGCCAAGAATCCCAAATCTAAATCATAGAAACCCACACCTGTGCCCCCACACTCCCCCTTTCCCAAGTGTAGATAGGACAGTAAGCCCAGAGACACAAAGGAACTTGCCTGAGGTCACACAGCAGCTCAGAGACGGAACCAGACTCAGACTCCGGGACTCCTGGCTTCTAGTTCAGGGTTCCGTCCCCTCGGCTTCTGCCGTGCGCGGTCTGTGCCCTCTGCCGGGGACAGCCAGCCAGCCCCTCCCCAGCGCACACCCCTTCAGTCTTTCCTGCCCCTGCCCACATCACAGCCACATCCTCTCCCGTCCCCATAACACCCCCTGGCAACTCCTGGGTGACGGGTCAGCTCCCCGGGGGCTGCCCGGGTGGCATGGGGGTGCCAGAGGCGGGCTGCGCTGACCGCTGCCCTGCGTCTGTGTCTGCGGCATGTGCTCCCAGGCCGGGCCACCCCCCCGCGGACCTCATCCGCCAGCGGGAGATGAAGTGGGTGGAGATGACGTCGCACTGGGAGAAAACCATGTCTCGCCGGTACAAGAAGGTGAGAGGGGCCGGGCCGCCGGCCTCCGTGGCTCACCAGCCTCTGCCTCCGTCCGGGCCCCGGCAGCATGGCCCTCCTGGGTCCCCCTCCTGCCTTTCCTCCCTGCACCCGCAGCGGCCATGCCGATGGCAGGCTGTGTTTGGTGCCCGCTGAGAGGAGCAGATGAGGCTGGGTGGGGGGGGGCAGCTAGCCTACCGGGTCCCTCGCTCGGCCTCCCCCAGGTGAAGATGCAGTGCCGGAAGGGCATTCCCTCCTCCCTGCGCGCCCGCTGCTGGCCCCTGCTGTGCGGGGCTCACCTGTGCCAGGAGAACAGCCCCGACACGTACCAGGTACGAGAGCTGGCAGGGGTCCCAGTCCCCTTCCCAGGGCCCCTTGCCACGCCGAGCCCTCACACCCGCTCCCCGACGCCCACAGAAGCTGGCTGAGGCGCCCGGAGACCCACAGTGGATGGAGACCATCAGCAGGGACCTGCACCGCCAGTTCCCTCTGCACGAGATGTTTGTGTCACCCCAGGGCCACGGGTATGAGGCCAGCGGTGCCCGGGGATCCCAGCCTCACGCCCCCATCATGTGGTGTAGTCCCCTGTCCCCCACCCTGCCCCCCAGCAGAACCGGGCGGGGAGGCCTGGGCAGAGGCTCCAAAGGCTGGGGAGGGACGCCTAACGGGGTCTCCCGGCACAGGCAGCAGGGGCTCCTGCAGGTCCTCAAGGCCTACACCCTGTATCGGCCGGAACAGGGCTACTGCCAGGCCCAGGGCCCCGTGGCCGCGGTGCTGCTCATGCATCTGCCCCCGGAGGTGAGTGCCCTGGACCCTGCGCCTGCGCCAGGGACCCAAGACCCTGACCCCGCAGCCCACTCACCTGTCCCAGCCCAAGGGACTCTGCATTCACGTCCGAGGATTGATCCCCGACCCTACCCACCCTGGGACCTTGTGGTCCTGGGCCCCGGACCCTGGACTTCCTGACTCAGGTACTCTGGCCGCAGGGGCCTGGGGTCCCTGCCTCCCGGGTCCTGTCCTGGGGACCCAGGGCCTCCCGACTGCCGACCTCAGTGACCCTCAGGCCCAACAAGCTGACGCCAGGAACCTCGCTCAGGGATCTAGGAGCCTGGACTCCCGGTTCTTCTGTTGTTGTTGTTGTTGTTTGTGTTAATCCTCACCTGAGGATATTTGTCCCACTGGTTTTTAGAGAGAATGAAAGGGAGGAGGAGAGACAGGGAGAGAGAAACGCCGATGTGAGAGACACATGGACTAGTTCCTCCTGCGAGTGCCCCGGCCAGGGCGGGGACTGAGCGTGCTACTGAGGGACGTTCCCTTGACCGGAATCGAGCCCGGGATCCTTCAGTCTGCGGGCGGGCGCTCTAACCACTGAGCCAAACCAGCTAGGGCACGAGTCCTGCTCCTGACCCTTGCAAACATGATCTCTGGCCCAATGACCCCAAGAACCCAGTACTTGGACTCTGAACCCCAACCCTGTGACCCTCAAATTCAACACCCTGAGCTCTGTGACCAAACCATGGGTCGTAGCTCTCTGTCTGGGCACGGGAGGGGGGGTGGTAAAAGCCCCCAGCACTGAGCTCAGGCTTCTGGCTTGAGTGCCCACCACGGGTGTCCATTGTGGGCTCTCACGGCCGGCTCTGTCCGCAGGAGGCCTTCTGGTGCCTGGTGCAGATCTGCGAGCTCTACCTGCCCGGCTACTACGGGCCCCACATGGTGAGCGGCGTGGGGCGCGGCGGAGGGCACAGCGGCGGGCGGCGGGCGGGGTGGGGGGCTGGGCCTGGGGCGGGAGCGGTGCTGATGGCCGTGGCTGCAGGAGGCCGTGAGGCTGGACGCCGAGGTGTTCGCAGCGCTGCTGCAGCGGCTGCTCCCGCGGGTGCACAGGCACCTGCAGCAGGCGGGCGTGGGGCCCCTGCTCTACCTGCCCGAGTGGTTCCTGTGCCTCTTCGCCCGCTCCCTGCCCTTCCCCACCGTGCTGCGCGTCTGGGACGCCTTCCTCAGCGAGGGTGAGTGGGGGCGCCGGGCGGGGTGGGTGGGGGGCACGCACCCGCCAGCTCTGCCCATCCTGGCCCTGGGTCCGGGTGCCGGGGTGCTGAGGGCGATGGCGCCCTGCCCGCTCTGGGGAAGCAGCCCGGCCCAGGCTCGCTCCCAGTGCGATGGGTGGCAGCCCTGCTCTGTGCGGGGGGGGGGGGGGGGGGGGACCACACAGGGGGGCGGCCTCTGCCCGGGAGGGGGCTGGGCCAGGGAGGCTCCCGCTAGGCAGATGGGGCAGGAGCAGGGGGGATCAGAGCCAGGCCAGGGCTCGGGGGCTGGCATGAAGGGGGCATGGCCAGCAGGAGAGGCCCTCACCCTGGAGCCCAAGTGCCTGCTTGGAGCACGCTCACTGGTGCCAGCTGCTGCCCGCCCTGGGCCGCCTGAATGAGGGGACCCACATTCTGAGGGTGGGGGTGGAAGGCTCGTGTAACCCAATATTTTTTTAATATATTTTTATTATTGATTTCAGAGGGGAAGGGAGAGGGAGAGACAGAAACATCCATGAAGAGAGAGAACCATGGATCGGCTGCCTCCTGCACGCCCCACACTGGGGATGGAGCCCACAACCTGGGCCTGCGCCCTGACCGGGAATGGAACCATGGCCTCCTGGTTCTTAGGTTGATGCTCAACCCCTGAGCCACGCCAGCTGGGCTATTTTTTAAATTTAAAAACTTTTTTATTGTACTTTTTTATTATTTATTACTTTTAAGTAATTAACATAGTTACACAAGCAAGACACTGTTCCTAGTGTCCAGGCCACAGATGAATTGGGTGTGGACATGAAGCGGGGATGTCTGGGCCAGGCCAAGAGCTGGGAGTCAGGGCAGAGCCGAACCAGGCTCCAGGTCTTTGTGGCTCGGCCTCCCATCAGTCTCCTCCCATCAGTCTCCTGCCTGCATTCTGTCCCCTGGGCTGTCCAGCAGTCGCACCTATAAAATGGTAGAAACTCATCAGCACTTTTTAAAAATATATATTTTATTGATTTTGTACAGAGAGGAAGAGAGAGAGAGAGAGTTAGAAACATCGATGAGAGAGTCATCGATCAGCTGCCTCTTGCACACCCCCCCCATACCGGGGATGTGCCCACAGCGAAGATACATGCCCTTGACCGGAATCGAACCTGGGACCCTTCAGTCCGCAGGCCACGCTCTATCCACTGAGCCACACCGGTTTCGGCCATCAGTACTTTACTGAGCGCCCGCTATGTGCCCGCTTGGCGCCAGGCTGGCTCAGGCTCTGAACATGGTTCCAAGTCCCCCCAGCCTCAGGCCTCCAGGGCAGGGGCTGAGCTCTCCCCTCCCCAGGGAGGACCAGCCCTCAGGCGCCTTCCATGAGGATGACGTTCGCAGTGACCGCCAGGCCGCGCTGGGTCCTGGCCGCCCTCCTCAGCAGCCCCGAGGCAGCCTGGAAGGGAGTCTGAGGATTCTGGAACAGCCCACGGTCACCCCGTGTCCCTGTGTGTGTGTGAGAGTGTGTGTGTGTGTGTGAGTGTGTGTGAGTGTGTGTGTGTGTGTGAGTGTGTGTGTGTGTGTGTGAGTGTGTGTGTGTGAGTGTGTGTGTGTGTGAGTGTGTGTGTGTGTGAGTGTGTGTGTGTGTGTGAGTGTGTGTGAGTGTGTGTGTGTGAGTGTGTGTGTGTGTGTGAGTGTGTGTGTGTGTGAGTGTGTGTGAGTGTGTGTGTGTGAGTGTGTGTGTGTGTGTGTGAGTGTGTGTGTGTGAGTGTGTGTGTGTGTGTGAGTGTGTGTGTGTGAGTGTGTGTGTGTGTGTGAGTGTGTGTGTGTGAGTGTGTGTGTGTGAGTGTGTGTGTGTGAGTGTGAGTGTGTGTGAGTGTGAGTGTGTGTGTGAGTGTGTGTGTGAGTGTGTGTGTGTGTGTGAGTGTGTGTGTGTGAGTGTGTGTGTGTGAGTGTGAGTGTGTGTGTGAGTGTGTGTGTGTGTGAGTGTGTGTGTGAGTGTGTGTGTGTGTGTGAGTGTGTGTGTGAGTGTGTGTGTGTGTGAGTGTGTGTGTGAGTGTGTGTGTGAGTGTGTGTGTGTGTGAGTGTGTGTGTGTGAGTGTGTGTGTGGAGTGTGAGTGTGTGTGAGTGTGAGTGTGTGTGTGAGTGTGTGTGAGTGTGTGTGTGTGTGTGTGAGTGTGTGTGTGTGAGTGTGTGTGTGTGAGTGTGAGTGTGTGTGTGAGTGTGTGTGTGTGTGTGAGTGTGTGTGTGAGTGTGTGTGTGTGTGTGAGTGTGTGTGTGTGAGTGTGTGTGTGTGTGAGTGTGTGTGTGAGTGTGTGTGTGTGTGTGTGAGTGTGTGTGTGTGAGTGTGAGTGTGTGTGTGAGTGTGTGTGTGTGTGTGAGTGTGTGTGTGAGTGTGTGTGTGAGTGTGTGTGTGTGTGAGTGTGTGTGTGTGAGTGTGTGTGTGTGTGAGTGTGAGTGTGTGTGTGAGTGTGTGTGTGTGTGTGAGTGTGTGTGTGAGTGTGTGTGTGAGTGTGTGTGTGTGTGAGTGTGTGTGTGTGAGTGTGTGTGTGTGAGTGTGTGTGTGAGTGTGTGTGTGTGTGTGTGTGAGTGTGTGTGTGTGTGAGTGTGTGTGTGTGTGAGTGTGTGTGTGTGTGTGTGTGTGAGTGTGTGTGTGTGTGAGTGTGTGTGTGAGTGTGTGTGTGAGTGTGTGTGAGTGTGTGAGTGTGTGTGAGTGTGTGTGTGAGTGTGTGTGTGTGAGTGTGTGTGTGTGAGTGTGTGTGTGTGTGAGTGTGAGTGTGCTCTTTGGCTTAGGGAGGAGCAGCTCTGGCTGGAATTTCTGGAACCAGAACAAGCTGGAAGGGCCTTCATGGAAACTCTGCCCAGCCCAGCCTCGTGGGAACACAGAGGAGAGAGAGAGAGAGAGAGAGAGAGAGAGAGAGAGAGAGAGAGAGGAGGCTGTGTGTGTGAGGCTGTTACTCCCCGCCCCTCCCCCCCTCCCCCCCCCCCTCCTGGCGGGTGCTCTGCCGGGAGCGGCTGTGGCTGCAGAGACGCACTCCCCAGTGACCCGCATTGCACCCAGCTCCGTTCCTTGCTGCGGGCCGGGGCGTGTGGAGTTGGGGCGGGGGGTGGAGGGAATCTGGGGCCAGGGCAGCGTCCGGCCGGGCCGGAGGGCGGCTGGCCCCTGAGCGAGCCGGTCTGCAGGTGTGAAGGTGCTGTTCCGCGTGGGGCTGACGCTGGTGCGCCTGGCGCTGGGCAGCGCGGAGCAGCGGCTGGCCTGCCCCGGGCTCCTGGAGACGCTGGGCGCCCTTCGAGCCATCCCCCCCGCCCAGCTGCAGGAGGAGGCCTTCCTGTCCCAGGTGGGTGCCCTGCGCCCTCCCCCCGGCTCCGGTCACTCCCCGGCGGGCCCTCCGCCTCCTCCTGGGCTGGAGCCGCCGCCCTCGGGCCTCCTGCCCCCGCAGGCCGGGCAGCTCAGTGCCGCCCCCGCAGGTGCACGGCGTGGCGCTGTCGGAGCAGGACCTGCAGCGGGAGATCAGGGCCCAGCTGGCCCGGCTGCCGGAGTCCCCCTCCGGGCCCCCGCCCCGGCCGAAGGCCCGCCTGGCCGGGGCCCGCGCAATCTTCGAGGCCCAGCAGCTGGCGCGGGCGCGGGGGGCCACCCGGCCCGACGTGCCCCGCATCGTCGTGCAGCCCCCGGACGAGCCCCGGCCGCCGCGGCGCAAGCCCCAGACCCGCGGCAAGACGTTCCACGGGCTCCTGACGCGCGCCAAGGGCCCCCCCATCGAGGGCCCCCCCAGGTCCCAGCGGAGCTCCGCCTCCTTCCTGGACACCCGCTTCTGAGGCCCCGCGGCTGAGGGTGCGGGACTCAGGTGCCCGGACGGCGGTGCGGCCTCACAGACAACGGGCACGCACTGCACCGGGATCCAGCGGCTCAGCTGCCTTCTCCCTGCCAGCCCCGGCAGGGAGCGGACCAGAGGCTCTGGCTGGAAATAAACGGTTAAGGTTTATTCCAAGTGCCCAGTGTTTGCACACCCAGCCGGGACCGTGGGGCGAAGAGGCGGCGAGAGCTCCTGGACAGCCGTCCCACCGCCAGAGGGGCCGTCTCCGTCCCTCCGGCCCCCTGCCCCGTGGGCCTGCCTCCGGGGGCTCCGGGCACCGAGCAGAGGGGCCCAGCAGTGTCCGGCCTCGGGCTCATAAAGTGAAATAAAGTCCTTTCCCAGGACCCTCCGTGGCAGCGTGGTGAGACCCGCTCTGAGCCAGCGTAGCTGTGAGTCAGCCCCGAACAACTGTTTTCTCCTCCGTGGGCTGCAGGCCCGGGGGGAGGGAGGTCACACACGGGCTGTGATGCTGAAGGAGCGTGTGTGTGTGTGTGTGTGAGTGTGTGTGTGTGTGTGTGTGTGTGTGTGTGTGTGTAGGGGGGTCAGGGTGGCCTGCTGGGCGAGGGGACCCCAGAGGACTCCCGGGGAGCCTGGAAGAAAGCGTGTTTCTGCAGAAGCCCGGGCGGGAACTGGACCCAAAGTCCTCCACCCCCAACCCTGGACCAGCGGCCCCTCCGGCCCCTCCCTCCCCAGCCCCGCCTCCTGGCCCACAGGCACGCTGCTGCCCATTGGCTGCTGGGGGTGTTTACCAGCTCAGGGCCCAATGGGGAGCCCGCCCTGCTGAGCCTCTGAGGGCAGGTGGCACCCGGGGTGGAGGCCCCCCAAGTGGTGCTGGGCCCCGAGAGGGGCCTCTCCCCTATTCTCCTCTCCCCGAGTCTGGTTCAGGACCCAGGGTGCAGCGGGCTCTAACCCACGTTCACACCCCACCCGTGACCCCGGCGGGAACAAAGGCCCAGTGTGCGGGACAAAAGAGAGAGGTCCGCCGGCCCTGGTCCCCGCCGGACGCCTCCCTGCAGCCCCTGGGACTGCCGCCATGGAAACCCCGCCCACACTCGTTAATTGCCCTCGTGGGTGCCCTGGACCGGAGCCATCGTCAGGACAACGGGGCTGGCTCCGATGCCGCTTACTCCGCTGGGTGCCCGTTCCTGTGCTCTGCCCTTCCCCTGGGCACCCGCCGGGCAGGGAGGGAGGAGGAGGGTGGGGCTGGCAGCGTGGGGAGTAAGGAGAAAGCAGGCCTGGGTCCTGCTTCGATGGGGTGGTGGCTGGCCGTCCCCAACCCTGATCCTAGCTGCCCTGCAGCCTGTGGCCTCTGGTCCTGGCACCTGGGCCTGTGCTGCTGCACCCTGGCCCTCCTCCCTGCACCCACAAGGCAATGCCCCTCAGCCGGCGCCTCGCCTGGGCGGCCAGGGGCGGGCGCAGAGCCACGCAGCTCTCTGTGATGGGTGCAGGCACTCCGGCAGAGGTGACCCTGGGCGAGCAGCCCCGCCTCTCTGAGCGTCCCTCTCCTCACCTGTCTGAGGCAGACTCATACCTGCTGCTCACGGGGCCCCCTGAGGTGCCACCCAAAGGCCCTGGCGCAGCTCCTGGGACAAGGTCTGTCCCTGCCCGGAGCGCCTGCCTCCTGCCAGACACCCGTGCCCGCTGCGGCGAGAGGTGCCCTGTGATTCTCTCCGAGGATGAGAAAGTTCGCAGGTGCTGAAGAGCTTGCGTTCAAAACAGGCAACAGGTCCCGAACGAAGCCACTTATGCTAAGCCACACGCTGTCACCGAGACTGACTGACAGCATCAGTTCTCCCAGAATCTCCTGGTCAGCACTGGTTTACCCTCCCCTCCACGGGAGGGATGCAGTCACCCACCCTGCGCTAGCCAGCCCGCTATCGGCCTAGAAAACTTCTGTGCTCAGACCCCCTCTGCCCATAGAAAGGTTATAGCCTGCCTGCCTGCCTGCCTTCCCTCGTTCCTTCCTTTTTTGGGGGAAGGGTGATTAGCTGTAATTTGGCCGAGCTGGTACGTGCTGGGCTTCAGGGAGGCTGGTACCCAGGAAGGCCAGCCTCCCCTCCCCCAGCCTGCCCCTCCCCTCTGCAGGCCCATCAGAGATCTAATCAGGCCCACAGCACCGTGTCCTTCCTTTTTTTCACTGTGTCCTTCCTTGTTAGGACTTGGTTACTCTTTACCTTTACATTATCCCATAGTCTTGCCCTAGCCAGTTTGGCCCAGTGGATAGAGGGTCGGCCTGCGGACTGGAGGGTTCTGGGTCCGATTCTAGCCAGGGGCACAGGCCCGGGTTGCAGGCTGGATCCCCAGTAGGGGGCGTGCAGGAGGCAGATGATTGGTGATTCTCTCCCATCATTGATGTTTCTCTCTCTCTCTGCCTTCCTCTCTGAAATCAATAAAGAAGTATATTTTTAACAAATAAAATGAATTCTCCCAGCGTCTTTCGTTTTGCGCAGCTCCTCGCTGTCTGTCTGCAGGACGGGTGACTGCCCGGCCTGTGAGTCACTGAACAGAGCCGGGAAGAGCGCTAAAACGGATTGCTGGTTGGTGGCACTTGTTAAAGGTCAAGGTCCTGCTGTCCAAGGTCCTGCTTCCGTCCCGTCCTGTCCCGTCCGTGTCCCCCCCCTCCCCGCCGCATGGCACCTCGTCCCGGGAGCCTGGGGGCCTCCAGCAGCCGGCCCGGAGTGCTGGGAGGGGGGCGTGGGCCGGGCAGGGGACCCTTCCCTCCACATTCCCCCAGTGGCAGACGGGTCCTCAGAGGCGGCTCTGTATGCACCTGCCAGCTCTGTCCCACCAGGACTCCCAGCCCAGCAGGCACGGGGCAGCCCGGGGCCACCGGGCAGAGGAGCTGAGGGGTGGGCGTGAGGAAGTGCAGCCATAGCCCACGTGCTGGGCTGGCCTGTGCCGTCCTGAGCAGCCCGGTGAGGGGGCAATGAGCCCCGTCTTAGGCAGGAGGTCAGTGGGGTTCAGAGCAGGAAGGGGAGGTGCCCAGGTCCCACGCTGGGACTAGGCTTGGGACCCGCCTGCTAGGACCCACTCACACTGAGTACAGGGTGCGAGTCTCTAGCTGTGTTCTGGGGTGAATTCGCAGCTGTGAGCCAGGAGGTCTCGGGGTGCTTCTGGGGGTGCACTGGGGTGAGGGGGTGTCTCAGGGAGGCTGATGGCAGGGCGGGTGCTCAGACCCGCTGCTCTCCCCAGCCTGGCACCCCCCTCTGGCCCCCAGCAGGGAGGAGGCGTCCCAGGGACGGGACTGCCCTCGGGGGACGCCGTACTGGGGTCGCCTCGCTGGCAGGGCTGGGGCAGGGAGGGGCCCCAGGGCCGAGAGGGTCTCTGGGGAGGGCTCAGGGCGGACACAGCTGCTGGCTGAGGACACCGTCCGGGGACAGAGCTGGGGCCTGTGTGCCCGGGCTCTCCGGCCCCCACCCAGGGGCACCCGGTGCCAGCCTCTGCCGGCTCTGCCCCCACCGTCCCCTCTCCTCCAGCTTCTCTCCGTCAGGGGCGGCCTCTCTGGGTCCCTGTCCTCGTCTCTGTCTGTCTCTGCCGCAGCCCATTGGGGACCCTCGCTGGTCCCTGGCCGCGGTCCTGGCGCCCCAGACCGGCCGCCCATCCCGGGCCAAGCCTGCCCCCGCCTCGCGGGCCGGAGCGCGGGGCGGACCGCAGGGCGGAGGCCTGGCCGCCCCTCCCCGCCCCTTCCCTCCCCGCCCCTTCCCTCCCCGCCCCTTCCCTCCCCTCCCCTCCCCGCCCCTCCCCTCCCCTTCCCTCCCCTCCCCATAAAAGGCGGTGCTGCCTCCGCCAGCACCGACGCCAACCGGCCACGAGCACCACCGGGTCCTCCACGCCCGTCGCGTCCCCGGACCCCGCTACCCGCCGCCAGGTACCGGCCGCCCCGCCGGGGCCCCAGGGAGGAGCCCGGGGCAGGGGCTGCGGCCCGGGGGGACCTGGAGCGCCCGCCCCCAGCGGGACCCGGACCCACCCACGCGCTCCCCTTGCCCCTGGGGACTGGCTCAGTGTCTGCCCCGCCACCCGGGGGCGGTGATGTGTGGGCCCGCGGCAGGTCCCTGGGTCCGGGTGGCACCCCCCTCCTCGGGGGTCCCCCTCTCCGCCCCCCAGAGTTAGGGGCTGGGCTGTGGGGAGCAGAGGGCCCTGACTCCCTGCCTGTCTGCTCCTTCCTCTGCCCTCAGGCGCCAGCCTCTCTCCAGCTGAAGGATGGTGAGTCCCCTGGGTCCCTCCCCCAGCCCAGGCCCCTTCCCCCCAGCCCAGGCCCCCCCAGGCAGAGGGCCCGAGGCCCCTTCTCCCCCAGGCCCTGCCCCTCCCAGCACACCCCCTGCTTCCCCCCCAGCAAGTACCGCGTGCCCGGCTCTCGCCTCCCCATCAGCCGGGCAGGCGGGCACTGCGGGTCTCCTTTGGCACCATTCATCCTGCACCATCCACTGAGCCTGCCAGGCCCTGGCACCGCTCTAGGCTCTCGGGGAGTTCGCCTTCTGGGGGAGGCCCGAGGCTCAGGGCTTGGCACTGACCGGTGAGCTGGGACCCGGACCTCTGCCCTCCTGGCCCGTGCAGCCCACTGTTCCCCACCCCCATCGTCACCGAGGCGACGCTTTTGGTCCAAGGCCCTCAGCACCCAGGGCGGGACGGACCGAGCCCAGCACCCACCTGGTCCAGAGAAATCCAGACTGGCTGGCGGCCCACTGGCCCTGCAGGAGGGGCCACTGTGTGCTCGGAGCCTCTGAGCAGCCCGCGTGGGGGTCAGGGATGTTTTCGTCCAAAAACAGCATTTCCGCGGCTCCACGCTGAGAGGAGGGGCCTCGGCTCCCCCTCCCCCGCCCGCCTGCCCGGGGTGGGCTCACAGGGGGTCCCCGAGGCCGACCGGGGCGGCCAGGAGCGGACCCCCCTGTAAACCCAGGTCTCGGCAGAGCTCCGTGAAGGCGGAGGGCCCCGAGGCCCGAGGGAAACCAGCAGCAACAGGGGTGCTGGGCTCTTCGCTCACGTGCTCTGTCAACACATCCACTGAGCAGCCCGGCTGCGCTGAACAGCAAGACAGACAAAACCCCTGTCCCTGCGAACCGGGCTGGGGCAAACCCTGGCAGGGTGGGGTGGGGGGGGGGAAGCGTGGTCCAGCCAGCAGCACCCTCCCGCCCCCTCCCCCGGGGGGCGCTGCACATACAGTCTGCAAAGCATTCCCACCCACACATCCTGGTCTCCGTTCCCCAGTCCACCCTCCTCGCTCCTGGTTCTCGGGGCGGGTCTGCCTGGATGGAGCCCAAGGGGAGGTCACTTTTGTGCCCCGTGCTCACCCTGCCCAGCACCCACCGCTTTCGCCCCTCTGCCCCAGCTCTCCGCGGACCAGCCGAGCCCCCAGCGGGACTGCCCCCTGGGCTCCGAGGGCCCGGGGGACGAGGAGGGCCCGAGGGGCGGCGACTCGGGCCTGCCCCCCGCAGACTCCTTTCCCGGCGCCTGGCGCCTGGACGTGGGCCTGGACGTGGGCTTGGACTGCCAGGGCTGCCCCGAGGGGGCGGAGGCCCGGGCCCGGACCGCCTACCACTACAGCCTCCTGCAGAGCTGCCTGCAGCTCGCCGGCCTCCCCGAGACCCAGGACCGCAGCCAGGCGCCCCGCACAGGTGCCCGGTGCTCCGCGGAGGGGACCCCGGGGGAGGGCGGAGTCCCTGGCCCGCCTGCCTCCTCCCAGGCAGTCAGGCCCCTCCCCGGGTGGTGACTGGGTCCGAAGCCAGGGCCAGTTTCGGGCGGGCGGGCAGGCGGCATTGTTTCCACGGGCCTCAGGCACCGGTCAGGCCAGAGAGCCAGCTGCCCTCCACCCCAGGATCCCCCCCAGCTCCGCAGCCCGTGGTCTCCGGGCTGGGGCTTCCCAGGAAGGGGCTTGTCCTCGGAGGGCAGCGGGGACCCCGGCCTCCGTCCCTGCTCTACCCACTTACATATCCGGTGGCCCCCAAAGCCGTGAAATACAGGGAGAACCAGCCTCGGCTGCGCTGTGCAGACTGGGAAACGGGGTGCCGAGGCTCCTCTCCCACTGCACGGGCCCAGGGGCCCACGAAAGCCAGGACCAAGGTCTTTGGCCCCCCAAACGCCAGCGCCTTCCACGCCAGCTGCAGAGAGAAGGGAGCTTGCCTCCCAGGGCGGGGACGGCCAGAGCTTCCTCTTCCCCGCTGCTTCCCCCGTCCCTTTACGCTCCTCTGTGCCCAGAGGGCCCCGGGGGGCAGGAGAGGGGGGCAGAGAGACCAGCAGGAGCTCCTGGTGAGCCGGGCCTGTTCTCCCTCAGGCCGCCCTGGGGCGGAGGTGACCCTGTGCGTTCTGGGGTCCCCCAGCACCTTTCTGTCCGTGCTGCTGGAGGGCGGGGCCCAGAGTCCCGGTGAGTGTGCACCCAATCCCCCCACCACCTCCTACAGAGAGGGCAGCCCTGCCCTGGCCCGGCCACATCCCCAAATACCAGGGTGCCAGCTGCATTCCCACCCACACGTGCCTGGTCTCCGTTCCCCAGTCCGCCCTCCTCCGCTCCTGGTTCTCGGGGTGGGGCCTGCCTGGATGGGCTGCGGGGGGAGGGCCTGGGGCAGGAAGCCTTCCCTGACCGGCGGCTCTGCCCACCTGCTCGCAGGAAACATGCTGCTCTGCCTGTCCCCTGCGTGGCTGGCAAAGGTGCCAGCGCCGGGGCGGCCGGGAGAGGCGGCCCTGCTGGTCTCCAAGGCAGTGACCTTCCACCCCGGGGGCCTGACCTTCCTGGACACCTTTGTGCCCCCGCGCCAAGCCACCTACTTCCTGGCGGGCCTGGGCCCGGGGCCCGGCCTGGGGAGGGCGGCCGCCGAGCTCGCCCGCAACCTCGCCTGCCCCACAGGAGCCTCGGCGGAGCTGGCCCGGCTGCTGGAGGACCGGCTGCTGGCGAGGCACCTGCTGGCCCAGCAGGGCGTGGCCGTGCCAGCCACCCTGGCCTTCACCTGCCAGCCGCCCGCGCTGCTGCGGGGAGGGGCCGGCGGCCCGGGGCTGCGGCTGGTGGAGCTGAGCGGCACCGAGGGCCAGGAGGCGCTGGTGAAGGAGGAAGTGGGGGCCTTCCTGCACTCGGAGGCCCCGGGCGATGCCCGGCAGGTAACAGGCTCCGGCCCCGGAGGGCTGTGTAGACGCCGCCACAGGATGGCACCAAGTCCTGCTGGGAAGTTTCCCCCACTGTGTGTCCTGTGGCCGCCCATCGCTGGGCAGCCCTCTGCCTCCTCCCTCCCTTACTCACGGGCTCTGAGGCTGTGGCTGTGGCGTCTCCTCCCGCAGCCCCTCCCCCTTCCTGTGGCTGCAGGTGGCCGTCAGGCTCAGCGGCTGGCGCTGGCGGGGGCGGCAGCCGCTCCGCCTGCTCCCACGAGCTGCGGTGGGCACGGTGGCGGACGCCGTGGTGGCGCTGCTGGAGAGGCTGGAGGAGGAGGAGAGTGTCCTGGTGGAGGCCGTGTGCCCACCCGTCCGGCTGCCCTCCGCAGGTGAGAGCCGCCGGAGCCGGCCCGGTGGGCGCTCGGCGCGGGCTCCTGGCTGCCGAGCTGGGCTCAGGCCTCCCGTCTCCCCCAGGAGCCCCGCCGGGCCCGGCGCTGGCCGTGCGGATCTGTGCCGTGGTGTGCCGGACGCAGGGTGACCGGCCCCTGCTGAGCAAGGTGAGGGTGGCCCAGGCGAGGTCATGGCCCCGCTCACACCCCGGTCTCGCCCCACTGTGCGGCTGACGGGCCCTGGGCAGAGAGGACAAATCTTTTTTGAAAAACATTTTATAGATGTTTATTTTATTTATTATTTTTTATTTATTTTATTTTATTTATTTATTTATTTATTTATTTTACAGAGAGGAAGAGAGAGGGATAGAGAGCTAGAAACATCGATGAGAGAGAATCATCGATCAGCTGCCTCTTGCACACCCCCTACTGGGGATGTGCCCGCAACCAAGGCACATGCCCTTGACTGGAATCGAACCCGGGACCTTTCAGTCCACAGGCCAATGCTCTATCCACTGAGCCAAACCGGTTTCGGCAGATGTTTATTTTTTTATAACGTTTTTATTGATTTTAGAGAGGAAGGAAGAGAGAAGCATCCATGTGAGAGAGAGGAAAGATCCATCGGTTGCCCCCTGCACCCCCCCCAGTGGGGAGTCAAATCCACAACCTGGACATGTGCCCGGTCTGACCGGGAATCAAACCCACCACCTTCTGGTGCTCGGGACAACGCTCCAACCACGCAGCTGGGGCCAGAGGCCAGACGCTTTGAGGGGGGTCCTGGTTGCCTCTGGGAGGATCCTGGTCTGGCCCTTCACCCCCCCTCCAACCCTGCCTCACCTGCCCCCATCAGGCCTTCACTGACCCCCGTGCTGCGCAAGCGTGGCTGAGCCCTCTGCCCAGGAGTTCTTGCCCACAGGAGGCCGGCACAGGCCCCTAACGATCCTCAGTGCCTGGAGCCTCAGGGGGGCCTCCACGCGGGGGAGCCCAGGAAGGCTTGGGGTCCCCCTGGGTGTGCGGCTCTGGGCCACGCTGAGAGGGAGAGGCTCAGGCCTGCCCTCGAGGGGCTCCTGGCTGGGGCACACAGGGTGGCACCCCAGGGCTGCAGGACCCGGGACCCAGCATGCCTGGAGCCCAGGGGAGCGGGACCCAGCTGGGTGGAACCTGAGTGGAGTCCCGGGGTCTGGGGGCCCGCTGGGCAGTGGCTTGGAGGTGGGCTTCTGGCCTGGATCCTGGCACAGGGCAGCATGCGCGGGGAGGAGGGTGCAGGGGCGGGGTGTCCCGGGAGGACTCGGCCGGTCCCTGAGCCGCAGCCCGCCCAGGTGGTGTGCGCGGTGGGCCGCGGGGGCCGGCCTCCCCGGCACCAGGACTCGCTGCCGCGCCCGCTGGAGGCGGCGCTGGCCCAGTGCGGCCCCGGGGCGGCGGCCCAGGCGGCGGCCGTGCGGCGGAGCGTCCAGGGGGCCGCGGAGGCGGCGCTGGCCGCGGTGCTGGCCCTGGAGGCCGGGCTGAGCGCGGAGCAGCGCGGCGGGCGCCTGGCGGGCACGGACTTCCTCGGTGAGTGCGGCGGGGCGGGGCGGGGCGGGGCGGGGGGCACGGGAGGGGGAATGGGGGGCGGTGGCCGGGGGGCACGGGGGGTACGGGGGGACACAGGGGGGGCGCGGGGGGCGGGGGGCAGGCAGGAGGCCGGGGCGGGGGCCCGGGGGCGGCCGCGCTGAGCCCTCCCCTCCCCTCCCTCCCCTCCGCAGGCGTGGACCTGGCGCTGGCGGCGGCGGGCGGCGCGCTGGCCCCGGTGGCGCTGGCGCTGGGCGGCGGCCGGTGCCTGGAGGCGTGCGGGGCGCTCGAGGGGCTCTGGGCCCGGCGCGCGGGGCCGGCGGCGGCCGAGGAGGAGGCGGCGGCGGGGCCGCTGGTGGAGACGATGCTGCGGCGCTCGGCGCGCTGCCTGATGGCCGGCCGCCGGCTGCTGGTGGTGGGCGCGGGCGGCGAGAGCAAGCAGTTCGTGTGGGCGGCGGCGCGCGACTACGGCCTGCAGGTGCGGGCGGGGCGGGGCGGGGCGCACCGGGGGGCGGGGCGCACCGGGGGGCGGGGCGGGGCGGGGCGGGGCGGGGGCACCGGAGGGCGGGGCGCGGGCGCGGCACGGGGGGGGGCCCCGGGGCGCAGGGGCGGGGCGGGGGACGGGGGGAGCGGGGGGCGGGGGCGCGGGGCTCACCGGAGCGCGGGGCGGCCTTAGGGGTGGTGTCTGCGCCCCGCGATCTCTCTGGGGCGCTGGACCCCAGTCCTAGGGGCCAGCCAGCCGCCTGGCCCAGGTTAGAAGTCTAGCCCACTTCTGTCCCCTCACCCCACAGTTTTTATTATTTTTAATTTGATTTTAGAGAGGAAGGGAGAGGGAGAGAGAGAGAAACATCAATGGTGAGAGAGAATCATGGACCGGCTGCCTCCTGTGCGCCCCCTACTGGGGACCGAGCCCGCCACCCGGGCCTGTGCCCTGACCGGGAATCGAACCGGCTCCTGGTTCATAGGTGGATGCTGCACCCGAGCCGCAGGTCTAAGCGGAGCCGGGGCAGTCAGGCTGGAGGCGGGCGGCATCAGGATTAGTGCCAGGCCCGGCTCCGAATGCCGGGCGGGCGAGGGGCCTGGGCCTCTCCCGCAGGAAGGCCAGGTGCCGCCCCTGAGGTGGAGTCCCGGGCCCGGGAGGGTGCTGGGAGCAGCTTACAGACCCCGAGCCGAGCTCACAGCAGGGGCCTCGTTACAGGGTCTGGAGCCAGGCGGGCGGCACAGACATGCTTACCCCCACTGAACAGATACAAAACGGGCCAAATAGCTAGGCTCGCCCTGCCCCCGTCTGCCGCAGTGGCCTCTGTCCACTCCCACGGTACACGCCCCTCCCCCAGCCATTCCTGCCCTCCGTGTCCGCACACACACTCACCCGGAATGCCTCTCCGTCCTCAGTTACCCCGGACACCACCCTCCCTGCCCTCCTAGGGGCTGCTCTGCCCTGGGTGCCGGCTGCTGTGTCCGCTCCCCCCGCGGGCAGTGAGCTTCGGAGCTGTGGGCCCCTGGACTCCTCTGTGCGTACCTCCCGTGTCAGCACACGGTGATGGCCGAGAGCGTAATGCCCAAAGACACTGTCCGCTGTCCGAGCCCGGGCCTGGGGGCTTCCCTACAAACCCTGTCTGCCGGGGAAATGGCACACTCGCCCTCTGCATCCCGCCCTCTGCCCTCTCCCTCCCACAGCCCTCTCCTCTGGTGGCTCTCATTTGGCTCCCGGCGTAAGCACTGCCTCTCCTAGGGTGCTTCCCCCGCCCACCCCAGGCTGCACCTCCATTCACTCAGCCACCCCCGAGTATTCCTCAAGCCCCTAATGCTGGCAAACCCACTCCCCCGGACCCCCTCCGGGGCCCCGTTCTGCCTCCTCAGTGTGCCGCCCTCCTGTGGTCTCTGCAGCTGCACCTGGTGGACTCGGACCCCAACCACTTCGCCGCCCGGCTGGTGCAGACCTTCATCCACCTGGACGTGACCGAGCACCGGCGGGACGAGGAGCTTGCCCGGCAGCTGGCGGAGCTGGTGCGGGCGCGCGGGCTGCGGCTGGACGGCTGCTTCTCCTACTGGGACGACTGCCTGGTGCTCACCGCCTTGCTGTGCCGGGAGCTGGGCCTGCCCTGCAGCCCCCCGGCCGCCGTGCGCCTGGCCAAGGAGAAGAGCCGCACGCAGCGGCACCTGCTGCGCTGCCGCGGCCCGCCCTGGCCCTCGCCCGCCCTGCACGCCGTGCCCTGCTGCCCCTTGGAGAGCGAGGCGGACGTGGACAGGGCGGTCCGCCAGGTGCCCCTGCCCGGCGTCATGAAGCTGGAGTTCGGGGCGGGCGCGGTGGGCGTGCGGCTGGTGGAGGACGCATCGCAGTGCCGCCGGCACTTCTCGCGCATCGCCCGCGACCTGCAGGGCGAGGCCGACCACCCCGGCATCGGGCTGGGCTGGGGCAACGCCATGCTGCTGATGGAGTTCGTCGAGGGCACCGAGCACGACGTGGACCTGGTGCTGTTCCGGGGGCAGCTGCTGGCCGCCTTCGTCTCGGACAACGGCCCCACGCGGCTGCCGGGCTTCACCGAGACGGCCGCCTGCATGCCCAGCGGGCTGGCCGCGGAGCAGGAGGCGCAGCTGGTGCAGGCGGCCTTCCGCTGCTGCCTGGGCTGCGGGCTGCTGGACGGCGTCTTCAACGTGGAGCTCAAGCTGACGGGGGCCGGGCCCCGGCTCATCGAGATCAACCCCCGCATGGGCGGCTTCTACCTGCGGGACTGGATCCTGGAGCTGTACGGCGTGGACCTGCTGCTGGCCGCCGCCATGGTGGCCTGCGGCCTGCGGCCCGCCGTGCCCCCGCGCCCGCGGCCCAGGGGCTGCCTGGTGGGCGTCACCTGCCTCCTGTCCCAGCACCGGCAGGCGCTGCGCTCCACCGCCAGCCCGGAGGCGCTGCGGGCCCTTCAGGCCCGGGGCCTGCTGCGCTTCAACCAGTTCACGTCGCTGGAGGAGGCCCCGGGGCCCGGCGAGTACGAGGAGCCCTGCTGCAGCCTGGCCTGCGCCGGGCCCAGCCCCGCCGAGGCCCGCCTCCGCCTGCTGGGCCTCTGCCAGGGCCTGGGCATCGACGGGCCCCACTACCCCGTCGCCCACTTCCTGTCCCACTTCAAATAGCACTGGTGCCGGGGGCAGGGCCAGAGTGCTGGAGGGGGCGGTGCTGCCTTCAGCTCCTCAGACTGTCCCTGCCTCCCTGCCCTCAGCCCAGCCCCCGCCCTGGCCTGGCCCACGCCTAGGCCTCAGCGCCACTCCAGTGCGGCAGGGCCATTTGACACCAAGGCCTCCTGGGATTAAGGGCCATAAAAGATAGGAACTGGGTGGCCCTTGGGCCCTCGTGTCCTCCCAAAGGCCAGTCCAGGCCACAGCTGCCCAGGACTCCTGCCATGAAGGGACAACAGCACGCGCACACACACACACACACACCAAGCCCAGCCTGCCACCCCTCCAAGCATCTCTCTCTTCCTGCCATCCACAGGAGGAGAGAACCTGGCAGGCCCTGGCCTTGGGCAAATCCCAAGAAAACCTGAGACCAAATACCCTGTCCTTTCACTCTCACCCTCTCATTTAACGAATTCCCGGACAGTTGTAGAGCCTGCTGCCGACTTCCGGCAAGGCCGCGCCTGCTCACTGACCTGAGCCGGTGGCCGGCGGTCAGCAGGTACAGCTCCCCTCCACGGGGACATGATCGGCCCGTTAGACAGAAAAGAGGCTCCAAGGGGGAAAAACCACAGCCTGAAGGTCCTGTCACAGCGGGTGGATGTTGAGGGACAGGGGGAGGGTCCAGGTTCCTGCTTTTACTATCTTACATGCCCTCAGTTTCCAGGCCTTGCTAACCTCCCTGCCCTGATTCATATGTGGCCCTGGCACATGAGAACAGCCCCTCATGCATCATGTATGTTCACCAAGCTTCGGTGCTTTGGCCTCCGGCGCCCCTAACTGGCATTGGCGGAGGAGTCTCACCCTTCCCTCAGGGGAGACTGCTTTAAGGACTCCCGCGCGCTCAGCAGAGGAGCCATGGACAGCTCCACAGCATCCCCTCCGAATAAAGGTTACGGACTACCTACAGGCCCGGGGGCTGCCACAGGTTCTTGCGACTTGGACAGCATCTCTCCGCTCAGCGCTATGGGGAAGGGAGAAGGGAGGGTGGCTAGGGGATACCCGCCACACTGGCCAGGCTTTGGGGTTGACCTTTGTGGGAGCCTGCCAGGAGAATCCACACCAGCACCCAAGCCTGAGGGCCTCCTGAGGGTGGGATTACACCCACAGAGTCACATCCAACCAGATGGCCCACCTCCAGCATGGAGGCCCCTGAGATCTGTATTTCCACGTTTAAATCTCACCCAGGCCTCATCTGGTCCAATTCACACACACGCGCACACACACACACCCCAACCCAGACACACACACACCCCCACAGAGCCCCATCCAGTAAGAACGCATGCCCAAGTTAAAGTCACAGACCAGGGTTGGTGTGTTCGTTCGTTCCTTCATTCATTCTTTTAACAAAGTTTTATTAAGCGCCTATTTCGTATCACAGCCGGATTACAAAACGTGCTGACATTGGCAGCGGAGCAAATTCCAACACGAGCCTATGTTCACAGGTGGATGAGTGAGTTGGGCACGGAGCAGCCACCGAGCAAATGCTCTGGCCTGCAGAGTCCTGGAACACGGAGGCACGGAGGCAGAACACGGAGGCGCGGAGGCACGTTAGGGAGACACGGATGCAGCCGCCTCCCTTTTAGGGGCGAACAGATGGAAGACCTGCCCCATCAGGGCTGGGAATTGCATTTACACTCACACCTGTATGCGCGTCCGGCTCTGCCCCCTTCAGACTCTCTAAGGGCCAAGATGGGCGCCTCCCAGGCCGCCCGGAGAGCTGTGCTGGGAAGACTGAAGGTTTCCTCAGCGGTTCCGCAAGGTTTTGGCATCCCGGTAACCTGGAACTACAATTCCCGAGAGGCCTTGCGACGGACGCCATATTTTCTCCTCGCCAGTGCAAAGCGCCCGGTGTGTTGCGTCATCGGCGCGCGCCGCCGCCGCCGCCCAGAGATGACGTGACCCGGCGGCCCGGGCTGTCAGTCACTGCGCGGCCGGAACGCGTCGAGGGGCCCGCGGGGCCGGCGCCGCCATGGCGGCCGTGTTTGACCTGGACCTGGAGACGGAGGAAGGCAGCGAGGGCGAGGGCGAGCCGGAGTTCAGCCCCGCGGTGAGTGGGCCTCCCGGGCGCGGCTGGATCCCGGAGCCGATCCCATCCCCCGGCTCCCCGCTGAGCGGACCCCGCTCCTGAGACCCCGATCTTCCTCAGAGCCCGGCCCTGTCAGCTCCTTCCCCGCCGTCCCGACCGCCTTCCGGGACCTGCCCCGTCCTCCCTTCTCCCCTCCGGCCTCCCTCCCAGGCCGGCCCCTCGCCTGCCAGCCCCATCCCGTCCCCTCCCGGGGGCCCAGCGGCCCGGCTGTCCCCCCCTCCGGGCCCAGCAGCCCGGCTGTCCCCCCTCCGGGCCCAGCAGCCCGGCTGTCCCCCCCTCCGGGCCCAGCGGCCCGGCTGTCCCCCCCTCCGGGCCCAAGAGCCCGGCTGTCCCCCCCTCCGGGCCCAGCGGCCCGGCCCGGCCCCCCTCTCCAGGCCCAGCAGCCCGGCCCGGCCCCCCTCCGGGCCCAGCAGCCCGGCCCGGCCCCTCCCTCCGGGCCCACCAGCCCCATCCCGTCCCCTCCCTCCGGGCCCAGCGGCCCGGCTGTCCCCCCTCCGGGCCCAGCAGCCCGGCCCATTCCCTCCCGGGGGCCCAGCAGCCCGGCTGTCCCCCCCCCTCCGGGCCCAGCAGCCCGGCCCGTCCCCCCCCTCCGGGCCCAGGAGCCCGGCTGTCCCCCCCCCTCTGGGCCCAGCAGCCCGGCTGTCCCCCCCCCTCCGGGCCCAGCAGCCCGGCCCGTCCCCCCCCTCCGGGCCCAGCGGCCCGGCCAGGGCGGCACCCGCACCTCCCTCCTCTGACCCCGGTTTCTCGTAGGACGCGTGTCCCCTCGCCGACCTGAGGGCCGCTGGCCTGGAGTGAGTGACGGTCGTGTGGGGGGCGGAGGCCGGGGAAGGGACCGGGCCCAGAGCCTCGCCCCCACCGCCCCCTGTGTCCGCAGGCCCGCGGGGCACTACGAGGAGGTGGAGCTGACGGAGACCAGCGTGAACCCTGGCCCCGAGCGCATCGGGCCCCACTGCTTCGAGCTGCTGCGCGTGCTGGGCAAGGGCGGCTACGGCAAGGTGCGCCCCTCCGCGGGCCCCCCTCCGAGAGGGGGGGCAGGGCCAGCGCCAGCAGTGGGTTGCCCCCTCCGCAGGCCCCCCCTCTGCAGCCTCCCTTCCCCTCCACAGCCTCCCCTCCGCAGCCCCCTCCGCAGGCCCCTCCGCAGCCCCTCCGCAGGCCCCTCCGCAGGCCCCCCCTCTGCAGCCTCCCCTCCCCTCCACAGCTTCCCCTCCCCTCCACAGCCTCCCCTCCGCAGCCCCCTCCGCAGGCCCCTCTGCAGGCCCCCCCTCTGCAGCCTCCCCTCCCCTCCACAGCTTCCCCTCCCCTCCATAGCCTCTCCTCCGTAGCCTCCCTCCGCAGCCTCCCTCCACAGCCTCCCGCAGAGGGTCCAGCAAGCCAGGCTTGTACACCCGGAGCCTCCCGCCGGACTCGGAGGTGGAAAGGATGGAAGGGCAAATCCTTTCAGAATCGGACTGGCAATCTTTACTGCCCCACCCTTAGGGGGCACAGCCTCGGTCCCGGCTTCAGGGCGGGGTGTCTTGGGCGGTGGTGTGGGGCGGGGCGCTGTGAAGACAGGGTGTGGAGAGGAAAGCTGATCCTGTCTTCCCTGCCCCACAGGTGTTCCAGGTGCGAAAGGTGCAGGGCACTAACTCGGGCAAAATCTACGCCATGAAGGTCCTGAGGAAGGTGAGTGACTCGTTCAGCCACCAGGCCTGCCCTTCCCGCGTGCCGCACGAGGTTCGGGAGGACGGCAGGGACCGCGATGGAGGAGGCAGGCGCCATCTTGGGCGTTTGCTGGTCTGTTGTCAGCTGTGATCACAGTCATGCCCCACTTACTGAGGGCGTACGTTCTGAGCAACGCACTGTTAGGCAATCCCACTGTGTACAGACATCACAGAGTGCACTACACAGACCCAGGTGGTCTCCCTGGCTGCACACCACACAGTATGGCAGAGCCTGTCACTCCCGTGCAAAACAGCACAGGATTCAGTCAGACACAGAGGTGCCGTAAACCAGGTGTAGGAGGCTGCTGCGTGTCGCAGGGCAGGCTGCTGGATAGCAAACTTTTTTATAAGTAGAAAGAGCACCCTCTAAAATAGAGAGAAAAAGTACAGCGTATCACATACATAAGTCAGTAACATAGCCATTTATTATTGTTCACAATATGTACCTACATAATTGTGGGTACCATGTTTTTTTTTAAATTCTCACCGGAGGATATTTCTCCATTGATTTTTAGACAGGGTGAAAGAGAGAGGGAAGGAGGGAGGGAGGAAGGAAGGAGGGAGAGGAACACCAATGTGAGAGATGCATATGTTGGTTGCCTCCCGTATATGCCCCAGCCAGGCCCAGGAATTGAGCCTGCAACCAAGGCACGTGCCCTTGACTGGGAATCAAACCCATGACCCTTCAGTCCTCGGGTCAGTGCTCTAACCAGTGAGCCAGACCAGCCAGGACAGTGCTATACTTCCATATGCTTGGCAGCACAGTGGGTGTGTTCACACCAGCATCACCACACACATCCGGGGAGCGGGTTGCGTTGGGACTGCCTCATCGCTGGGAGATGGGATTTTTAGCTTCATTACGCTCTAAGGGACCACCATCACGGATGTGCTTTGTTGGTGACTGAAATGTACTAGGTATTGTTTGGGCATTAATTCTCTACCATGGGCAGCCTTGCCCCCGGGGGGCATTTGGCAATGCCTGAACACATTCTGGAATGGTGACTGGGGGGGGTGCTAATGGTACCCTGTGGGCAGAGACCAGGGATGCCGTGCACAGGCAGCCCCCACACCAAGGTGCGGGCAGAGCGGTGCTGAGGGTGAGGGAGGGTGGCTGAAGGATAATGGCTGGAGGGACCGAAGGAGCCCCAGGTGCCGCCACCTCGCCGATCCCTGCCTCTCCAGGCCAAAATTGTGCGCAACGCCAAGGACACGGCTCACACGCGGGCTGAGCGGAACATTCTGGAGTCGGTGAAACACCCCTTCATCGTGGAACTGGCCTATGCCTTCCAGACTGGCGGCAAGCTCTACCTCATCCTCGAGTGCCTCAGTGGTAGGAGGGGCCCGGGAGGCATGGGCAGGGCCCGGGAACCAGCACAGGAAGGTCTGGGGTCCGAGGGAAGCCTGGAGAGCTGTGGTGTATAGGACAGCCAGGGGGCCCCCACACCATCTGTCAGTCTCTGTCCACCCCTTTATCCGTTCATTCATTTGTTCGTTCATTCATTCGTTCATTCATTCAGCAAACATCTATCTAGTGCCTATTGTCCCTCCCTGTGCCGGGGTGGATGGGAATGTGGGATTGTTTAGAAGTCCAGAGGGCTGTCCTCCATCCCACTGTCCCTTCATGCCCTGCGCCTTTCTCCTGTGTGTCCTGCATCCAGTCAGGTCCGCCATGACCGCCATCCTCTCCACGGGGGCACGGGGAGGGCACAGTTGTGTCTTCCCTCCGGCTCAGCCTCTCCCAGTGTCTCCTCCATTAACTCCCAGGGTCGTCATCTCAGCTGGCATTGCTCCCTCCACTCCTCAGAACTCATGGCTCCCTGTAGCTGCCCGGACACAGCCTGACCGTGGCCTGGCCTCTCCCGGGCCTCCTGTCCGCCATGGAGCGCTCCAGGCCTGCTTTCCCCCACCCACCTGCACCGAGGAGCCTGTGCACTCCAGTCCCTGAGCGCCATCTCGGCGTCCCCTCTGAGTCCCACTGCCGCCATGCCTTCCTGGCCCCTCTCCTTGGGACTGATTCTGTCCTCCTTTGTCTCCTCTGTGAGGAATTTTGGGATTAAGCTCGCAATTTTGGGGTTAAGCTGTCGCCTCCATCTGTCACGTCTTCTCCCGTTAGACTGAGCATCCTGAGGGCAATGGCTGGGTCTCTGATCTCTGTCCCCAGCCTCACCCAGCACAGGGCCGGGCACCGAGTAGGCGTCGGTAGATGTTTGCTGAAGTGAATGCACCCACGGCAGCTCTGTGAGGCAGGTAGGGCGGGAACTGTGAGCCCCACGCCCCGAGGAGAAACCGAGGCTCGGAGAGCGGAGGGGCGGGCCCCGCACACAGCTGCTGCCGTGTTTGTGTCGCAGGCGGCGAGCTATTCACGCACCTGGAGCGAGAGGGCATCTTCCTGGAGGACACGGCCTGGTGGGTGCCCCCCGCCTCTCCCGGGGCGCCGGGAGCGGAGGGCCTGCCCGCCCCGCTCACTCCTGCCGCCGCCCTGTGTCTGCAGTTTCTACCTGGCAGAGATCACGCTGGCCCTGGGCCACCTGCACTCCCAAGGCATCATCTACCGGGACCTCAAACCCGAGAACATCATGCTCAACAGCCAGGGTGCGTCTTCCCACCGGTCAGAGCCCGCGGGGAGGGCCGAGGAGCCCGGGGCGGCCTGGGCCCTGACCGCTCCTCCATCGTGCCTTCTCAGGCCACATCAAGCTCACGGACTTCGGGCTCTGCAAGGAGTCCATTCACGAGGGTGCCGTCACCCACACCTTCTGCGGCACCATTGAGTACATGTAAGGGGCGGCCGGCGAGGCCCAGGGGCGGGAGGACAGCCGGGAAGGGCCTGGCAGGACTGACGCCTCCGCCCGGCTTCCAGGGCCCCCGAGATTCTGGTGCGCAGCGGCCACAACCGGGCGGTGGACTGGTGGAGCCTGGGCACCCTGATGTACGACATGCTCACTGGATCGGCAAGTCCGGCTCCCGGGAGGGCAGGGCGAGGGCGGGAGGAGCCCCTCTCCGGGCAGGGGCGGGGCCCGGCGGGAGGCCCACACCCTGCTCTCCCCTCCTCCCCTCCAGCCGCCCTTCACCGCGGAGAACCGGAAGAAAACCATGGACAAGATCCTCAAAGGGAAGCTGGCGCTGCCCCCGTACCTCACCCCGGATGCTCGGGACCTCGTGAAAAAGGTGGGCTCCCTCTGCCTGGACCGGCCCTTCTCGTTCCCCAGGCCCTGTGGCTCCTGAGTGCCTCTGGGTCGTGGGGAGCCACGCACGGCGGCCTGTGCAGGTGCCGTTGGGGGTGGGGGAGCCCCGCTTTGTGGTCCCAGACGCTGAGCTCTGATGCAGAGCAGCTGCTGAGCCCAAGTCCCTCGTCCTGATTGGCGAACCGTTGGCGATGAGCTAGCCGCTCTCCCCCTGGAAAGGCGGCCAGGGGCACGGGGCACGCAGGTTTGGAGTTGGGTGATGCCGGCCACCAGGGCCGTTGTAAAGGCTTCGTAGAGAAGGGGGCACTGGACCAAACCTCGGAAGTCTGAGCATCAGGAGGTAGAGACCACACTCCAGAGCCACCTCCTCCCACCCTCCTCCTCTCCACTCCCTGTCCCCTCCCGGCCGGCCACCGGGAACACAGGACACTAAGCACTGCGTGTCCCCGCCCTCCCCCTCTGTCCCGTCCTCTAGTTCCTGAAGCGGAACCCCAGCCAGCGGATGGGGGGCGGCCCGGGGGACGCGGCTGACGTGCAGGTGGGTCTGAACCACCATCAGGGGGTGTTGGAGGGCAGAGTTCCTGAGCCGAGGGGGCGAACCATTGGCATGTTTGGGCGCTCTGCCCACAGAGGCACCCCTTTTTCCGGCACATCGACTGGGACGACCTCCTGTCCCGCCGTGTGGACCCCCCTTTCAGGCCCTGTCTGGTGAGTGGGGGCCCGGGGCCCCGGGGCGGGTGAGGACCCCTTTTTGGACACCCCTTGACCCCTCCCCACCCCGGTCCGCCCACAGCAGTCGGAAGAGGACGTGAGCCAGTTTGACACCCACTTCACGCGGCAGACGCCAGTGGACAGTCCCGACGACACGGCCCTCAGCGAGAGCGCCAACCAGGCCTTCCTGGTAGGTCGGGCGCTGCGGGCTCCAGGCTCCGGGCCCCGGGCCTGGGCGGGACCGGCTGCGGCAGCGGCTGCTGAGCTTCCCTCCGCCTCTGCCCAGGGTTTCACGTACGTGGCGCCCTCCGTCCTGGACAGCATCAAGGAGGGCTTCTCCTTCCAGCCCAAGCTGCGCTCCCCCCGGCGCCTCCACAGCAGCCCCCGCACCCCCCTCAGGTACTCCGCGCAGAGGGGGCCGGGGAGTGGCCGGGGCTGCCCCGCTGAGGAGCTCAGCCAGCACCAGCTGCAGTTCCCATCCACCTCGGGGCCACCTCGCCCTCTCAGCCTATGTCCCCAGGTAGCTGGGGAAGTCAGCTGACTCTGCCTTGGTTTCCCCCGCAGCCCCCTGACGTTCTCACCCTTTGAGGGGTTCCGGCCCAGCCCTGGCCCGCCAGAGCCCGTGGAGCCCCCTCCGCCGCCTCTGCTGCCGCCGCCGCCACCGCCCTCGAGCACCGTGCCCCTCCCCATCCGGCCCCCCGCAGGGAAGAAGTCCCGGAGGGGCCGCGGGCACCCCGGGCACTAAGGGGGGGAGCCAGCTCCCGAGGCTGCGCCCGCCGGCCCAGGCCCCGGGGACCGTGGGGCAGGAGTGAGTGTGTGTGAGAGCGTCTGCTGAGTGACCACGCCCTGGATCGTGAGCGGGCCGGCTGCGGGGAGGGCCTCCCCGCGGAGCTGTGCCCGCAGAAATAAAGATCCGATCATGGCACTGACCTGGCTCCCTTCGGCTGTCTGGGGGCAGGCGTGGGCAAGGTGGTGCCAGAGGGGCGTCTGCTCAGGGACAGAGGGTCACCGCAGGGCCACAGGCTGGAGGACTTTATTTCAGAGGCTGCTCAGTGCCCAGGGAGTGGGTGCCCTCCCTGGAGGGGCAGATGCGCAGCCTTGGGGACACACTGAGGGCGGAGTGACAGTCTGAGGCTCCATGGGGAGGGCAGCGGGGCCCGGGGTCGGGGCAGGCAGTCTCGTCAGGGCAATGGGGAAGCAGAGGCGGCGCCCGGGACGTGCCCCGGGGCTGCCCTACAGCGCGGTGACATGGAGGCCCTTGCCCCCAGCCGCCCCCGCGCTGTCGTCCCAGGCGGCGCTGCCCGCGAAGGCGTGCAGGTCGCTCAGCAGGGCCTCGGCGCTGCCGCCGGAGCCGCGCAGCTCCTGGGGGCCGAGGCCCAGGCCCCCGTCGGGGTGGCCGCCGTGAGCTTCCTGTGCGGGCCCCCCGGCCTGTGGGCCGTGCTCCTCTCCACGCCGCGGCTCCTCCCGGGGCTCGGCCTCCCCCGGGCCGCCACCCAGGCTGTAGTCGTCCTCGTCCTCCTGCTGCTCTGGGTCCTTGTCCGGGGACTGGGGCTCCGCCCGGGCCCGGAGCCAGCGGCCGGGGGGGCTGGCCCAGAGCAGGCGGCGGGTGCGGCCCCACAGCGCGGCGCCCAGGCGGGCCGGGTGGTAGTAGCCGCCGGAGTCCCGGTTGAGGCGGCACCAGGCCAGGGCCAGGCCGGTGACCAGCAGCAGCAGCAGCAGCAGCAGCAGGATCACAGTGACCGAGCTGGAGCCCGCGGTGTCCTTGGCACTGCCACCGGAGCCCAGGACCCCTGGCAGGGCCAGCAGCGGCCCGAGCCCGAGGGCGCAGGGCAGGTCCTGTGGGGAGACAGGCAGGGCTCGTCCCCAGGCCACGGGCCGGCGGGGGGACTTTTTGGGCAAAGTGGGGACAGTGGAGCAGAAAGCCCAAGGCTTTGCTTGGTCAACAAGGCTCTTGCCCTGTGAGACTGTCCCCCCCCCACTGCGCCTCAAAAGCCTGCTCTGCGGGGATTGGGGGGCTCAGGGGAGGACTCCGCCGCAATGCCCTGCCCCCCTCCCCTTCCTGCCAGCCACATGGCCCGCTCTCACCTTAGCTCTGAGGACCTCAGTCCTAACCTGACCTCATCCCTGCAGCCCAGCTCCACTACCCACCCCCACTCAGCCCAGTGGGAATGCTGCTTTTTATTGGGTTTATCCCCCTTGCCCCCACCCTCCAGAATTAAGTGGAAGAAGACGGGGCTCTTTCTGGCTCAAGCACCTAAAAACAATTCCTGGCGCATAATAGATGCTCAATAAACGGTTGACTGGCAGACTGCCAGGTGGCCAGGGGTGGAGGTGGAAGGGAAGGGAGCCTGCAGGGTTGGTGTTGGGCTGGCTTTTCATGAGGCCTGGGATGGAGGAACCAGTCCCAAGGCAATTGCTTACTGCCCACTTGGCCAGGCCCCAGAAAAGGGGTCCCTGAGACCCCTCTCCCCCCAGCTCCGCTACCGCCCAGCTACAGCATTTCCGTTCAGTTTAGCTTTCTGTCCCTGGGGGCCTCGGGCTGGGAGGCGGGTACAGCTGCCAGAGGAAGCCTGCGGTTGGAACAAGGCAGGTGGGGACGTTGGGGGAAGGGTGCAGAGGTACAAGCAAGACTCCCTCCCGGGCAGGCTCGCCAGCGGGGCAGGGAGGGTCTCTCGGGGGCCTTAAGCAGGTCTGGGTCACAGCCTGAGGCCCAGGGGGGCCCAGCTCGGAGGCGAAGGGAGAGAAGGACCCAGCTTCTGCCCACACCTGTCCTGGCTCTGCTCCATACTCTGCCGGGTCCGGCTGCTTTTAGCCCCACAGGGGGAATCCTTCCTTCACTCCCTGATCCTGCCCCCCCCCTCCCCCCTCCCCCAGGACCAGCGGGCTCCGCGCTCACCATGGGTCCGCAGGCTCCTCAGCGCTGGGTGCCCACCTCCGGCTCCAACTGTATCGAGTGAGAAGTGAGCTCCCACGCTCGGCTGCAGCTGGGGGTTACTTGGCGCTTCCGCTTCCTGCCCACGAGACCCCACCCACCCTCTCTGCCTCAGGCCCCCGGAGCCTCCTGGGGCCACCCTGGCCCTCCAGCCTCAGGCCGGGCCGGGCGTGGGGCTGTGACCAGCCTCCAAGAGGAAGGGGCAGCCCGCTCCGCCGGATGTGGCCCTGACGTTCCCACGTGCCTTCTGCCTCCGGCTTCAGGGAAGCTGGTGGCGGGGGATGCTCCACGGCCCCAGGCCTCTCCCACGCGGATGGTCCCTGCGGCCCTATCTGTCCCCTTTCCTTTCCCAGCCCGCCTGCAGCAGAATGGCAAACCGGCTTTTAGAAAGAGAACTTTATTTGGAATGAAAATATAGAGCCCGTCCCTCCACGGAGGGAGCGGGGCTGGGTAGGAGTGGGAGGTGGTCCCTCAGAGTGTAAGCTTGTGTTGGTACAAAAATCCTCCACGGTAACGACGACAAAAGCCAGGCAGCTCCAGCCTGGGCCCCAGGACGGGTGAGGGTGTGGACTGGCCCTTGAACCTGCCCCAGAGGCCCTCAGCGGGGGGCAGGGACAGCCAGCCAGCAGCGTGTGACCTGACAGCAGAGCTGAGCGAGGAGCGGGCGGTGGAGGCAGCGGTGAGGAGGGAATGGCATCGGTGGCCTGAGGCCTGCGGCCCTATGCGTCCCCGTTCTCCATGCGGCCCAGCTGCTCCTCCAGGCGGCCGATCCGCTCCCCCTGCTCCTTGACCAGCGCTCTGAGCGCCCGCAGCTCCTGCATCACCTCCTCCAGCTTCGCCGCCTCCTGCAGGGACACGGAGGGTCAGGGGCCACGGCTGTAGCCCTCCCTGAATCATTACCAGGCGGGAGGGGCCTGAGGCTCAGAGACAAACAGCAAACGTTCTGGGGTTCTGGCGCACACAGCTCCCCAGGGCTCCCCACCACCGCCCAGCCGGCCCAGCACCTACCCCCGCTCCCGCGAGGCTGCTGCTGGGGGCGGCCGTGCTGGCGGAGGCGGCAGGGGCGGAGGCCCCCGGGCGGGCGGAGCCAGGGGCCGCGGCGGGCCGGCTGTCGGAGAGCACGTTGCGCCGGCTGACCTTCAGGTCCCGGTGTTTGCTGGGCACGTAGGCCTCCCGCAGGGAGATGAGGATGGGGTCTGCGTCCCGCCCGCTCACCCACTCCTCCGCCTCCAGGGCCGCCTCGGGCCCCGCCGTGTCCGGGTACAGATCGTCCTGGAAAAGGTCCGACTGGACGGGGGGGAGGGGGGAGGGGGGTGGGGTCAGCTGGGGGCCCACCATCAGCGTCCTCTTGTCAGGACTCTGGGTGGCCACCTCCTCGTCTCTCTCCTGGCCTCCAGGCCTGCACCTGTCAGCCCATTCCCCCGTGGCCAGCCCTGACGCACTGCCCGCCTAAGCTCGCTCTGTCCCTTCACTTCCCTTTGGACGCCCACTGCTCCCCCTCTGAAGCCTCCCTAAGCAGGGTCGGGGGTTCCGGGCGCCATGGCCGTGCCCACGGCTGGGAGCGCCTGGGACAGCCGTCAGTCTGTTCACAGCTCGGCTCCCTGGGACTGCCTGGCACCGAAGGGTCACTCAGCAAATGCTGGCTGCAGGAGACACGCCCAACACTCTTGGCTGGGCAAGAGAGCAGCCTCACGTGGCCGATCCCCTCCTCCTGGGAGCCCCACTGCAGCCAGCCTCCCTGTGCTCTGCGTCCCCAGCTCTGTGCCCTGTGCCCGGCCTGCTGCCACCCCGGGAGGGCCCTGCCCAGCCACACTGCCAGCCGCTGTCTCCTGCGGTTCACCCAGCCGGCCTTGGCTCTCACCCTGATCTCGGCTCGTCCCCTGCCCAGTACAGCCCAGCACCTGGGACACCCTGGTGTTTGCCAGCCCACTGACGGCACCCACACCCAGCAGGCCTCACCCCCCCACGGCCTGTCTGCTGGAGAAGGGACAGGGTCGGACAGGGGAACAGGGTGGCCTCACCTTTCTTGGCACAGTCATGACAATGGGCTCACACTTGCGCTCATGCAGTTTATAGAACCTGGAGAGGGAGGGAGGGAGGGAGGAGCCGTGCATGGAACCCCCACCTCTCCTGGCTCCCTATACTCCCCACCGAGCCCCGCCAAGGCTGGCCCCTCACCCCGGGGCCTCCTACGCAGTCTGCTATAATTTAACCTCCCAACCCGGCCCCTAGGCCACCCTCCCCCCCATCCGCCCCCAAGCCAGCTGCCCGGGTGGCCCTCTTACCGGGCGATCTCGCACTTGCTGACCTCCAGGCCCCGCTTGGGCATGCTGCCCATGCCCCTCTGCGGCTCCTTGCTGGTGAACGTGTTCAGGAAGTGGATGTACGGGGACTCGTCCGTGATCTCGAAGTACCGGATGCTGGAGTCGCCCTGCGGGGCGGGGCGGGGGGGAACGGGTCTCAGTGCTCGGGCTTCCCCCGTCCCTGCCCACCAGGCCGCCCAGCCTCACCTTGCCGCACACATAGACCACGTTGGTGTCCGGGTCGTAAAAGGGCAACAGGGCCCCGTTGCTCGAGTCCAGCTCCTGCAGGGCCATGGGCTCTTCGAGGTTTGCCTGGCGAGTGGGGAAGGGGCCGTCAGGCCGGGCCAGGCCACCCTCCCCTCCCCTCCCCTCTCCCCTCAGGGTCCCAGCGCTCCGTGGGGCTGCCCCAGCCAGCCTCACACACAGGCCGCTGGGTTCTCTCCCACCTCCACGCCTTCGCCTAGAGTGTGCCCCCCGGACCCTCCTGGCTCCCCTTCTCTCAGGGTCCCGCTTCCCCGGCCCCCGCCAGGCCTGCAGACCACTCCCAGGCCCCTGAGCAGGCCTGACAGTCCCCGCCACGCGGGAGCCGGGGAGCCGGGGGCAGCGGCCTGGCTCAGGGGCCCGGGAGGCCAGCTTACAGAGTTCAGCCGGGAGAGAGCCCTCCGGGGAAGGGCTGGCGGCTTCCTGGAAGAGGGGCCTCTGCATGGGTCTCAGGGGCAGCCGGGTAGGAGCAGCCGGCCACGGAGGGAAAGACCCTCCGGTTGGTGAGAACAATGTGAGCCAAGAGGCAGCAACAGGAGAGGCTCCGGGGCCGGGCGGGGAACCTGGGACCCACGGGTCTCTCCGGTGACTCCGCACGCCCCGCCCCTGAGGGCCGGCCGGGCCACTCACCGGGTCCCAGAGCGCCAGCTGCCGCTCGCTCATGCGGCTGAAGCCCGTGGTGAACACCTTGCCGTCGGCCAGGAAGATGGCCCGCATGGGCCGTGCCCCCTCGTGGGCCTTCTCCCGCTCCTGCGGGGGCACAGGGTCAGGGCGCCGCCCGGAGCGCCCGCCCGCCCGCCGCCCCTCGCCCCGGGGCGCGTACCGCCACCAGGGTGCCCCGGCGGGGGTCGACGATGCGCACGCTCTTGTCCTTGCAGGCGGAGCAGAAGAGGCTGCCGTTGTGGTTCCAGCTGACGTTGTAGATGAGGTCGGGGTGCAGGCTGTCCAGGCGGTACAGCTCCTCCGCCGTGCCCACGTTCCAGATGAGCACCACGTTGTCGCAGCCTGGGGGCGGGTGTGTGTGTGTGTGTGTGTGTGTGTGTGTGTGTCAGCCGGCGGCCCCTCGGGCTCCCTCCCGGGCCCAGCTTTCCCGTCTCAGAGGGCCGGGGAGGAGGAGCGGGGCAGGGCGGGGGCGGGGGCGGACCTGCGCTGAGCAGCACGTTGCGGGCCGTGGGGTGCCAGGTGACGATGCCCACGCGCTTGGTGTGCCCCTCCAGCACCACCACCGGCTCCGTCAGCGGGGAGACCAGCCCGTTCTCCGGGATCTGCCACACCTGTGGGCGGCGAGGCTGCGGCTAAGGCCTGGGCCCGGCCCCGCGTCCAGCGGCCTCGAACCCTGGACCCCCACAGCCCCAGGCCCCGCAGCCCTGGCTCCCGCAGCCCTGGCCCCCGCAGCCCCGGCCCCCGCAGCCCCGGGCCCCGCAGCCCCGGCCCCCGCAGCCCCGGGCCCCGCAGCCCCGGCCCCCGCAGCCCCGGGCCCCGCAGCCCCGGCCCCCACGGCCCCGCCCCCCCCTCCCCCCCGCAGCCCCGGCCCCCGCAGCCCCAGGCCCCGCAGCCCTGGCTCCCGCAGCCCCAGGCCCCGCAGCCCGGGCCCCCGCAGCCCCGGCCCCCGCAGCCCCGGCCTCACCATGACCGTGCAGTCCTCGGAGCCGCTGGCGATGACCTCGTCGTTGTGGGGGCACCAGTCGATGTCCAGGACGGGCCCGGTGTGCCCGCACACGGTGGGGTAGGCCTTGTCGATGCGGCCCGTCTGCGGGCGTGGGGGCACGGACGGTCAGGGGACTCAGGCTCCCGGCTCCCCCCTCCCAGACCCTCAGCTGCCCTCCAGGGCGGGAACGAGGGGCCCGGACGTGGCTGCTCTCCCTGGGCAGCCACAGGGGCCTCCGTGGGGAGAGACGGGGCGTGGCACCCTCCGGCAGCTGGGGCAGCTGGGGCGGCGGTCCTTCCCGGCCCCGCCCACCTTGCTGAGGGGCAGCACCAGGAAGGCGCCGCCGCCGCTGGCCTCCACGATCACCGCCAGGAACTTGGGGTTGACGGCGCAGAAGGTGCTGTCCCAGGTGACGCGGGACACGCGGATGTCCTCGTAGCACTGGTCGTTCTTCACCGGCTGCCCGAACACGTGCCGGAACTTGCTCTGCCGAACCACCTTCCGGAAGGACATGTCTGGGGGTGCAGGGGCGTCAGCTCCCACCCAGCCCAGCGCCCCGCCTCCCGGCTCCCACCCAGCCCAGCGCCCGCCTCCCAGCTCCCACCCAGCCCCGCCTCCCAGCTCCCACCCAGCCCAGCGCCCCGCCTCCCAGCTCCCACCCAGCCCCGCCTCCCAGCTCCCACCCAGCCCAGCGCCCCGCCTCCCAGCTCCCACCCAGCCCAGCGCCCCGCCTCCCGGCTCCCACCCAGCCCAGG